GCCTATTTGTTGTAATTCCATTCCCTTTGAAGGTTTTAAAACATCAGTTTTGTTCAAAAGAAGAAAAAAGTTGATAAACAATAAAAAGAAGATATACAAAGTTTCTCATATGATGTCATGAATCTCAAAATTGCAATAATTAATAAAAGATGTTGATATACAAACCATTAAATAGATTGTATACTATTAGTTGCTTACGTGCTACTTATTGATTGCAGACTTGTTCCCTGCATGCATGTTATGAATTAATGCTTGTAAAATGCTGAATCTGATGGTGAAATTAAACCTCTATCATACGCATCCGAGATATTAAGCTGTTCTACTTTCCTGGACTCAGTAGGTGATAGTGACAATGTATTTCATTCTATTTTTTAAGATCGAACAATTACCAAAATTAAATCCCAACGAAAAACTCATATGTCATTCCAATTAGTGCAAATAAAAATTATAATATGCAAGCCGGATTTAATTTATTAATTTTTACTGACAATGGTTTAACGAGCTCCCCGATTTAACGACAAATGGTCTTGGTCCATATTAATTCGTTATAGATGAATTCAACGTATTAAGTAATTTTTTAGTTAATTTTATTACTAATACTTGCTCTTGAAGGTGCGATTCCAGCTCCTTACTTTGATTTATAAACTTTTAAAAGTAATGGTGAACACACTAATAGTAAAAATTAAGTCTATAACTCGACTTAATAAAGCGTTATTTTCTTTGTTAAAATTTTTTTTAAAAAATTAAAAATTTTTCGTTCGAAATTTAAATATTTGTGATGATCTTTTCTTTTTCTTGTTTTTCCTTTTGTTACAAACTGTAAACGATGGAAAAAGTATTTTTCTTCTTAAATACATAATAGTCATATATTATCTAATTATCAAAATTATGATTTCCTAACTACAAGTGCAGAAACAGAAGTTTCTAGAACTAAAAATATTGTTATTAGCGATAAAGAAAATGCTCTTGATTTCATTGCTTTTGTTTTCAATGTCCTTTTATACAAAATTAATAATTGACAAATATAAATATTTTTGCCCATAAATGCTTTCTCTTTTTCCGTTTTAATGGATTTATCTACCGAGTGAATAGGGAAATTTATTTCGAAATAAGCTTATCAATGTGACTACTAACTCTACTTGAAGTTATTTCTGACAAAGCATTTCTTATAAATAATTACCCTTTTGTGCTTTGAGTCTCTATTCTGCTTATTATTATGTCATTTGGATGAATGACTAAATAAATTAAGAGACATGGATAGCTAAATAAAGATATATAAATCTTGATTGGATTATTTTTGAATTTACGAACTCTACAGAGCTCATACAGGCACTGTGGGCTCTCATAATTGAATTGAATTTATTTATACGTCATCACATTTTACCAGAAGACATCCTATACTTTCTTCAGGCGCCAGAACACCAGAACTCCAAATTTTTGAAACTATTTAGCATTGAAATAGACTAGATAAAAACAACAACCCTTACAATGTAAGAAATTTAGGAGCGCGCTAAATCTTTATATAGTTCATATTTTTTCTAAACTTAACATTATGCTAGGCTGAGCCATATCGATTTTTTTTTCTTAAATTAAATTGGAGAATTCTATGGTTCAATTTGATGAGTAACATGGACTTAGACGACGTTATGTATCTATGACCAGTTTACCAGTAAACGGATATAATTTATTATCTGCACAAACTTCGGGACATTAATTCTACGAATAAATGGGATTTTTTTTATTTAGCTAATTCTACAGCTTAAATTACACCATTTATTAATAATGAACAGAAATATTTTATGTGTTAATTAGCAGGATATGTAGATATAATTTAAACTGCATAAACTTGGCGTTATAATTAAAATATCAAACATTAATCTTTTTAAAATGTTCTTTTTTTAATTCCATTAATTGACAATAGTGATTTTTTTAACCTAGAATTGCGACTCTTAACCCTTTCTGGTGCCAGTCTGGCAACACTAATTCAACAAATATTGCAAACCACTGGGAATATGAAACTAATTGCTTTTTAACGCTTAGCAACTCCTAATCTTTAAATAACAAAAAACTAACAAATGCTACTTCGATTAGAATATGCAGCCTGAGGCCGCACTTGCTACTGTCTTTCTTGACAAAAATTTTTAATCACAATTTGCTTTTCAGGAAAGGGATGTCAAACTCGCTGCCCGCGGGGCGCATGCGGCCCGAGATGAACATTTTTGCGGCCCGGTCAATACATCCGAAGCAAAGAAAAAATAAAATCGAAATGTGAATTAGAAAGGAAACTAGCTTATAAAATTATAATATACTCTATTTATAAACTATACGGATAATTTTAAATTGCATGCGCAAAAGTGTAAAATTCTAATTGGCTTGCGGCACCTGCCATTCCGGGGATACTGCATCGTATCGAAAATACGCAGAAAACATTTCAAATCTTAGAACAGAATTTGAAACAAGGTTTAAATATTTTAATTCTTTGAAAGACAAATTTTGTTTGTTTTCTTCGATTTTCTTAATAAATATAGGCTCAGTACTCAGTAATATGCAAATGGAAGTGATTGAGATTCAGTGCGATTCAAATTTGAAGGCAAAATTAATTGAAGTGGGTATGCCTGAATTTTAAAAATATTTACCGGCAAGGTTAGAAAATACTCGAAAATTCGCATATGAAATTTTTTCCATGTTTGGAAGTACTTATCAGTGCGAGCACTTATTTTCTGTTATGAATGGAAATAAATCGCTTGTCCGAAACCGTATTAATAACGCTCACGTTGGGTCAATTTTGAAAGTAATCTCGGCCAATAAAACTTCTCCCGAAATAGGAAAGATAGTAGCAGAGAAGAGATGTCAAGTATAAGGCAATAATTTAACTTTATATAATTTTATTACAATGTACTATTCAAAATAAAAATATTTCTTTCTATGAACAATTTTCTTAAATTATTTTTTTGCGGCCCACCTAAAGTTAAGCATTGTTTATTTGGCCCAAGTTAGCTTTTGAGTTTGACACCCCTGGTTTAAATAATATTGTCGTTTGTGCTAATACAAGGAAACGTCCAGGAAGGACCACCTCTGTGTAGCAACCTCCTTCATTTGTGACCACTTTTAGGAGGTGCGGAATGTTTTCCGGAGACTTTGCGTTGATGAAAACCTTTAGGAAAGACCATGAAAACCTCCCTCAGCGGCCTGGTAAACCTCTGAACCAAATGGGGAAAAGGTTAAACCTGGAAGTATGAAAAAATATCAAAAAAAAAAATATTTACAAAACAATAATCAAATGCATACAAAATATTCGTGAGTGGCTGTAAGTCAAAATTGTTTTTTTGTTTTGTTTATGATATCTAAAAAAGATCCATAACTTCATGTTGTAGTCATAGGGCACTAAAGACGATGCTATTAATGATTTATTTTTAGAGTTGAAAGTTAAATAAGAAAAAAAAGTTATTTTAGAAAGAACTAAGCATCTCAAACTAACAAACCTTTTTCTCATTCTTTACAGCTAACTAATTTTTATGATATAAAATTAACCGCAAACATAAACAAAAAAAAATGTTTATTTATTTAAAAAAAGTTATATCTTTCATAATTGGTAAATTTGCTTTTAAATCGTTTTTATTCAAGCTAAATTTTACTCGTCGATCCCGTTTTCATGACGCCAACACAAGTGGCATTTCCTCAGCAAGAAAATGATTCTGAGTAAGATAAAGAAAAAAACATCTTACTAACCAGCAACACTTTATTGTGCTTAAGGAACATTAAAGTAAAGTAGTATGTTGTGAAAGAATATGTACAAATATGTTAATATGCATAAACGACATTATATCTATACATTTTATTTTATTTTACTTAATAATCGTCCTTGAACAGCCGACCCAATTGTATGGGTTTACGACTAATAATGTTTAACTCCGTAGCCTTGTAGTTTTGAATCCAATCCAGAGGACAAAGGAACTCCTGAATAAAGTATTGGGGGGAAATTCGCTTTCGTAGAGGACTTTTTGATGGAACTAACCAGCATTTGCGTTACATGGAGAGGAAAACCACAAATTCCTCCACGGTTAGCCTGACGGCAAAGGAACCTAACCCATGATCCGTCTATCACTGAGGATATTTTACGCCAGCACTGTGGTCAATGCAAGCCGGGTGTGGGATTCGAATCGACCAGGCATCGCTGGGATTCGAAACCGGATTCACCCGGTCCTGATTCACCTCATTGGAAGGAGAACGCTCTGTTCGCTATATTACGCATAACACAATAAAGAGTTAAAGAAACAGAAATTTACTAAAATAAATTAAGATTTTATGATTTTTTGAGTTTTTTTAACTGCGCATAGGCTGCAAGTATATGGAACCCATGATATAAAATAAAAATACGAAAAAAAAAGGAAAAAAAAAGAAATATTATTTTTAAACCATTTTTGCGAGATGTTAGTAAGTACATGAACATCTGTTGTAGCACCTTGTTTTATATGCTCTTACTTTTTGTTTTATTTTCTATTTTTACAGAATTTTTGTTTTATTCTGTATATGTTTTTTTTTTTTAATTTTATGATTTCTCGCTTAACATGTTTTATTTTCGATTTTGTTTCTTTCTTTTATGGTGCTCGTCACACTATAGCACAGGTATATTTCACATTGGTTAAATTAATACTATATTAAAAAGCACTATTCAGGGTACATAATCGTGTAAGCTGACAACCAGATAATATCTTTACGTTGTTCTGTTTTCTGGCTTTTTTTAAAACTTTACTTATTTTTTTCATTATAGCTTTTTCTTTTCTCTTTTAAAAAATATTTTTCATTGCTTTTTTCTCTTTTTTTTGTATTTTAATCTTTACTTTTATATACATACATATTTCTTCATCAAATTTTCTATTTTACCATTGCCTCCCAGTCTTTGTAAAACACGTGGTAAACTTTACATAGAATATTTTAAAAAAATATCCATTTCTATAAATTAGTTTGTAGAAAACTTAGCTTTTTGTTTTATTTTTCAGAGTAGATCATGTCCGCAGAAATTGAAAATTCCAATTTACTGAAAAATAAAAAGAAGAATGACATTTTAGACTTATTTCCAAAAAATGGTCATTGGCAGAGAAAAATCTTTATCATAACCTTCATTACCGCGATTCCCGTAGCTTTACAAAATTTATCCATTTCTTTTTTTGCCCCAAACTTGGACCACTGGTGTTCAAGACCTATAGGGACAAATATCACTGTTGAAAAATGGAAACTTGATGTCTTACCACTACATGATCAAAAGTGTTCAAGGTAAATAACAAATATAATTCTACTCTAAACAAATTCTATAAAAGCTCAAAAATTTTTGTTGTTGTTTCTAATGCTACTTGCCGCACTAGCAAGCCTCCTTGATGAAACCGAGCAAATTTAAGGCAGATGGTGCGTTTCGTACTTTTCAGTGGCCCCATCTATGGCCGGCTTCAGCTAAACACACGTCACACCCGTTTGTAAGGCGGACCCATTCATACATCCACAGATCGTAATTTTTGACCTGGATTAGAGAACGATCGATCTCCAATCCAGTACCCCCTGAGGTATTGATTTGTTATGGAAACATGGAGGACTTTGCAACTCGACAGATTTAGTGTGCATCAGTCACCATCTTTGGCTGGCGGGGTTCGAACCCGCGAACTCTCGTACGTGGGTCCAGCGCCCTACCGACCAGGCTATCCCGGCCGCCAAAATTTTTTGATTTTTCGGCTATTAAGGACTAAATGATGATTTAATATTATTTGATCACGCAGTCCGTTTTACATATAGATAGCTTACATCATCCATAAATATCTATATTTCACTACCTAAATGCAATTCAGCTCGAATTATTATACGTATCATTGCTCGAATTCTTCCGAATCATTTCATAATCCAGTTTCTGTAAATTTTACAACAGATTGTATAGCTATTAATTTATAAAACTTTCTAAGTCCAAGTTCAAAGGTTAATGTTTTATAATAACTTTAAAAAAATTTAAGTAGTTCTGTGCATTATTTTATTTTATTTATGTAAAAATGTTTGCAAATAATACTCTATGAGCTATCTGAAATTAAGACTTAATAGCTTTTAAAAAATTTATGTTTCTAGTTTTTAATGTAACTAAAACCATTATACTTCAATAATTTAAATACCTGTAAAAATCTGCATGAATATTTTTTCAGTATTTTTAGTTTTTATCAATTACAAATATTCAAAAAATTTCGAAATAAATTTTATTTAAAAAAAAAACATTTTTATTTAAAATCATTTTGTTATTTTTTCTTTACAATTAAAATTTACAATGTCTATTTTTATTTAACAATTTCAGAAAAAAGTTAACGGAAAAAACTAATAATATTCTATCTTCCTTCATTTATTATAAATAGTTTTAAAATACATCATATTAAAATTATAAAGAAGTGAAAAATTATTCTTTGTATAAAATTTCAGAGGTAATAAAAACATAATCTACAAAGCTTGTCATTTCTTAGATGATAAATATAATTTAAAATCTTGAAAACTTTAACCCTTTCAAAACCTCTAACTCCTTTAAATAAAAAACAATATCTTTAATTAAGATTTTAAGATAGTGATATTAGGGTATGTCAATTGGAAAAGAATAAGTCACTTACCTTTGAACCCTTTTCTGAAGGCGATATTCCATTCCAATGGCTTTTATCGACCTGCTCTTTTATTTGGCACTTAAGTAAAAAAAAATATTTTCTTTTTTGTTCAGGTAACAAATTTTAAAATAAATATAAACTTCCATTATAATTAAAACAACTGACAGTCAAGAGGAAAGTTTCCAAAAAAACGAGCGAGTCGTTAAATCCCGTTGGATTGTAAATGAGATCCCGAAGCAGCAAAGTTTCATTGAGAATTTTAGTCAGGCGCAACATTTGCTAGTGCGACCATCGATAGTACATTCTGAGTGATGTGACATACAGTTTGTCTAAAGTAAGAACTCCCCTAGCCATCCGACTAAACCAGTGGCGGGGACTATGGTAACGAGGTATAACTATTTCAAGCAGGATTGTGGGGTCGGCGAAAAAAAAGGAATCTTTTTTTTTTGGTCTATTGTGTTAGCCCTAGAGGGAAAAGAAGCTACCTTCCCTAAAATGCGCTATTCTTGTTTCCATCACAGAAGTCTGCCTAAGATTTTGTGGTGGGGGGAGTTCTTGTCATAGACAAACTTTTTATTATTATTTTTTTTTTTTTTTGCACTTCAGGTGTTGTTTTTTAAGAATAGTGATTGCTCAACGTTTAAAAGCAATTCGTTTTATATTTCAATCCGGCAGCAATATTTCAAAATTTGTTGAATTAGTGTTGCCGGATCGACGGCATTGCACCGGAAAAGGTTAAAATGAATTACGTTAATTTTTAATGCTGCGCTGAAGTGTCCTGAAACTTTCCTCCAAGTACGCTTTCATTACTATGAGCAATATAAGTGCAATTCTATCTTGATTTATGTCTAGTAATATGAAATTTTTTCATAGGTACAATTTTTTTAATACTTCCCATGTAAGTACTGAAAATAACAGCTACAATAACTATGGAATAATCCCATGTGAGTCATGGGAATATGACACTTCGTTGTACACGTCAACCATCCTAAGCGAAGTAAGTTTATAAAATTTACTTTTAATATCAACATTTACAGTAAATAAATAATTTTTTATTAAATGACCTCAACTTAAATATACAGTTTTTAAATTTTATTTCCAGTGGGATTTAGTTTGTGAAAAAGAATGGTTAGTTTCCTTGTCAAAATCGCTTTTTGCGGCAGGTACTCTCTTATCTTCTCCTTTTGAAGGATACATTTCTGATAAGTATGAAAATATTTTTATTACATTGAAATTTGTAATTTTCATACATTTCTGAAAACAATGACAATATTTTATTACATTATAATTAATCATTTTAACACATTTTTGATTTTTTTATTGTTATGTAATTAGCACTTTTGATGTATTTCTGACTGCAGTAATTTCATGACATTGTAGTAAACAATTTTGTCAGATTTCTGATAAATTTGACAATCTTTTACTGTGTATTAAAAGTGAAAATTTTATTACTTTACTGATAAGTTTGACAATAATTTTATGATAACAATCATGAAAGTTTTATTCCCTTTCCGATAAGCATAACAATAATAATATTATACTCTAACTGACAATTTTTTTATTCAGTTCTGATAAGTAAAGTAATACTTAATTTCATCGCAATTGATAATGTTTAAAATTAGTTCATTATTACTGACGTCAGTGTTAATTAAAGCCCCAGATAAGTAGGTTAAGTAGTAAAACGCCGCCATTTTGGTGAAAATCGAAACTCTCTTCCTGTATTTGTAGTGTAGAAATACGGAGTTTCTGCTTCTTAAACACCACTTTTTATTGATCAAATTATTCTTGAAGATAACTTAAATATTTACGATTCATTCTTTTAACTTTTTCTCTGAAATTATATATTTTAATTTTATTCTACTCAAGGAAAATAATACCTTATCTATAAATTGAAACTTTCCCATTTCGTCTTTTATAATTTGTTAATACTTTTATAATTGTTTCATTGCAACTGATAATGTTTAAATTTAGTTCAGTATTACTGACATTAGTGTTAATTAAATCCCTAGATAAGTAGGCTAAGTAGTAACACGCCGCCATTCTGGTGAAAATCGAAACTCTCTACCTGTATTTGTAGTGTAGAAATACGGAGTTTCTGCTTCTTAAACACCACTTTTTATTGCTCAAATTATTCTTGAAGATAACTTAAATATTTACGATTTATTCTTTTAATTTTTTCTCTAAAATTATATATTTTAATTTTATTCTACTCAGTAAAAATAATACCTTATCTATAAATTGAAACTTTCCCATTTCGTCTTTTATAATTTGTTAAACCCTTTATAAATGTTTCATTGCTACTGATAATGCTTAAATTTAGTTCGTATTTTTTGAATTAGTGTTAATTAAATCCCTAGATAAGTAGCTTAAGTAGCGACACGCCACCATTTTGGTGAAAATCACAACTCTTTTCCTGTGTTTACAGCGCAGAAATACGGAGTTCCTATTCTTAAGGGCCAATTTTTATTGATCAAATAGAATAATTTGTTAAATGTTTTTTCCGAAACACTTTGACATTTTTTGCAGTTGGTTTTTTATGAGATTCAAAAATTGATATGATTTGGGATTTAAATCATTATGAACATTATCAACAGTGTTCAAAGAAAAAGTCTTTTTTCTTAACAATTCCAATCGTTTTCCTTTAAATCAATACCGACTGTTATTTGGTTTTTCGTAATAAACAATTACTAAAACTTTAAGTACAATTAATTAAATTGAATATGAATTCTTAGTTAAAATTTTAGTTGCAAATAACGAAATCGAAAATATTTCAAAATTGCTATATTATTTTTAAATTACTATATTAAATAAAAATTTGTTTGTAAATTAGAATAAAATATATGCCATAACTATAAAACCAATAAATATTTTTAAGCAGTATTAATATTTTTAGAAGAATTCTATATTTTTTCAAAACATTATATCTTGTCTTTAATTGTATTATGTTATCATCATCTTATCGGTATTACAAAAATATGAGTTAAAGCTATTCAATTTATATAGTAGTAGTTCATTTACGTCGCAATAGAGCTGCACAATGGGCTATTGGCGACTGTCTGGGAAGCATCCCTGAGGATGATCCGAAGACATGCCATCACAAATTTGATCCTCTGCAGAGGGGATGGCACCACTGTTTCGGTAGCCCGACGACCTGCACGCGAAGTCGAGCACTTTACGTTAGAACAGTTTAACGAGGACCAATACCGCACACCCTCAGTCCCTACGCAGACTGATCCAAGTGGTCACCCACCCGCACACTGACCGCAGTCAGTGATGCTTGACTTCGGTGATCTGCTGGGAACCGTGTCTTAACGATCAGTCCACTGCGGGACTATTCAATTTATATAGATTAACTATGAAAGAGATGCCGGCCAGGTGGCCGAGCGATTAGCGCGCCTAACTTCGAAGCCAATGGTTGCGGGTCCGAATCCCACTCTGGACATAGATGTTTCTCTCTCTATGTGCTGTCCACTGTTGTGTGTGAATGTGGCCCACCCTATAAACGGGTTTGTGGCAGTGTGGCGTGGGTAATGTTGCTCGCCTCCGTGAATTTGGTTCACAGGTGCCCACTGGGTAACGTGAAATGAGTAACAATTCCGGCATCTTCTGAGGCGAAAAATAATGTTCAGTGCCTGCCATTTGAAAAAAAACTATGAAAGACATATATTAGTTGGATATTTATAATATTGTACGTTAAAAAAAATTTAAAAATAATTCTTAAAATTTCCAAATTTTAATTTCATTTTTAGCCATTATTTTTCAGTTATAATGTTGAAAGATTTCAAACATGCACTTTAATTTTAGAAATTGGATAAAATGAAACAATTAAACTGTGGGGTATATGTAACCGTAAAAAGAAATTAATGTATATTTTACTGAATCAATACAAACAATTTAAATTGTAATTAATTTAATTTGCTAACAATGATAAATTTGAATAAAACTAAAAATAATGCCTATAAAATGCTTTATTTAACTGAGTCATAATGCTGATAACATATCTTTAAAGGGAAAATATTGGCTATAATCATTAGTTTATTGAAATGGACACATTATTCTTTTATAAAATAGACAAAACAAGCTAAATTAATGTTCAATGTAGTAATTGAGACATTTCTCTAAAACTAAAGAGACAAAATTACGCAAAATCAAGCAAAATAATGAACTATTAAAATATAACAAGACTGTTAATTAAAAAAACAACGCGCTTAAAAATGATTAAAATAAAAGAAAAACTGTCAAGTACATAAACCATATTTAATCAAAATTATCTCCTTATAAATAAATTATCACGTGCATAAGAAGGATAAGATTTTTTCAAAATTAAAAAATAAGATTTTACCATAAGAAAAAAAATATTTGTTATATTTTATAATTTAACGACAGTCTTTCCGCATTTTTCTGTTTGCGACTACCTCTGTTCATCTCAGTAGGCTTTAAATTGGAATCCAATCTGGAAGACAAGGAAACTCCTGGATCAATTATTGGGAGAAATCGCCTTCGTGGATTACTTTTTGATGGAACCAACCCATATTGCATAGAGAAAAAAACCACGAAAACCTTCCACGGTTCGCCTGAAGGCAAGGGGACTCTGACACATGATCCATCGATTACTGAGGATATTTTTACGTTAGCTCTGTGGTCGGAGCGAGCCGGTTGCAGAATTCGTACGAAAATGGGTCACTTCATTGGGAGACCCTGAGCTACCATTGCACAGGTCCACCATGGCTTTTTTTCATGAGCTATGGCTATACCCTGAGCCACCAAGACTCATGAAAAAAAGTATAATGAACATCACTGACAATGACTGTATTTAATGAATTTCCTTCGTAAACTAAAGCATCAGTTTCTTTTAATAGAAAAATGAGTCTTTCTGAGCACAGCAAAATCAAAATTAGCACTTTTAAGAAATTGATTATGATTAAAGATTTAATTAAAGACTTAAGCAATGGGAAGATTTATTGCTGTCTTAAATGTTCTTTTTAATGCCATAGGAAAACGATAAAATTTAAAGCCTAATTTTGAACTATTAGAACACCCAAATGCGTAACAATCTGACATTATTAATTTAAAGTTCTGAAATAATTAAGAAAAGCGAAAATGGAAATAGCAGATCGAACATGACTCTTCACTATCTACACTATTCACCAGAATGGCGACTGTTTACCCATGTGATCGACGGCAGCCAATCTAAATCAATGCGGCACAGAATTCGCGGAGAAAAGAGTTTGATATGACAATAATGATAGTAATTTCTAGCTAAATAATAAATAGCTTTTCTTTCTTTAGTTTCATAGAATAATAATACAGCTTTTTTTTTCATTTTCTTAATTAATTTCAATAAAATTGTAAACCATTTATTACAAAACAAAAGAAAATTCAATTAGTTCATTAAAAAATTTCAAATTACAATTTTTTTTTTTAAAAATAATTCTTACATTTTAATTAAAAATTGAAAAAAATTAAATATGTAGGGGAGAGTCGGGTAGCGCCCGCCCAGCTGGTACCCCCGCCCACTGTCAATTTCATATGTATAGAATATTTTTTCAGGTCAATGGGCCATCGGACATTGTTATATTAAAAAAAGATTATTTTCAAAGTTTCAAGTATTTATGCAGCTGTTAACATGGTAAACAATAGTTTTGAAAATATGTTGAATACAGTAGTCATGAAATTAAGAAAAATTGGTTGAATGTTTCGATTAAACTTCATTTTAATACTAAAAAATCATTTTTTCTATACATACAGCATTAAAGTATGTAGTCTTAAGTTTAATTTGCACAAAGAAAAAAGTCTATATGTGAAAAATTGTTCGAGTAATTACAAATTTACAAAAAAATTGGATTTCGGGTAGCCCCGCTCACATGAATGTCGGGTATCAACGACCTATTTTATTTCGTCGATAAATGTACGGTTGCAAAGATTATTATTTTATGCTTCAAATTTGAATGTTATATGCGTTTTTAACAACAAATATTGTTGTTATTAAATGATAGAATTCACTATAAGTATATAAATATGTAATAAATAAAATAATTTTGTGATAAAAGTGATAAGCGAGGTTTACCTATTGTCAATACCTTGGTCATTTTCATTTACACCTGAAAAAACAGTCAAAAAACATAATTTTTGTAACTGGGCGGGGCTACCCGACACATTTAAAAGAGCTGAAAAACATGTTTTTTTAAATTTATATTTTTTTTATGTTAAACTATTCTTTTTTTGGTTTAATATTTTTGCATTATTTAATTAGATGATAAAACAATAGAAACATACAAAAATATTGATTATTACTCAATATTATACAGAAATACAAGCAATACTCCTTAAGTGAACGGGGCTACACGACTCTCCCCTATATTTTTTTCTTTTTAAAATTTAAATTGTTTTTGAAAATTACTTTAAATTAAAAAAACAATAATTCATAAATAGCATTAAACGTATTAAATACTTACACCTTTACAGAACTGAAATCTAGAATTTGAATGATAAGGAACTTGAATTGAAACCTAGAATTTGAGCCTTTGACCTCTCTGGTAAAAGGTGGAAAGCTTAACCGTTGTGCCACGAATCCCCAAGTGCTGGAGTTTTTTAGTTTAAAAATAAAGAAAATTAACTTATGTGGGACATATTTCACCCAATAAACAGAAGCGCCGGCAATTTTTAACCTTATTCAGAGTTTTCAACCAGTAAATTTGAACTTAATTTTTATGTGATAGGAATTTTACAGGTGCTTAGTTTTCTTGTAAGTGAAAATCTGTTCCGGGAAGTTTAAGTATTTTCTGAATATTATATTTGTCACAAGAAAATGTTTAAAAAGAAATTTATTTTGTTTTGACAGGTATGGCAGGAAGCCTGTAATTGTAGGTTGCAACATCCTTGCTCTTTTATCATCTGTCATATGTGCCTTCTCCACATCGTTTCTCATGTTTTCCATAACAAGATTTTTTATTGCTGTTGGTGCTTCGGGTGCTTTCAACTCTGCTTTTGTTTTATGTGAGTATTTTTACAAGCACATAATATTTTATCATTTTTCAGACTATGATAACTAAACATCAAGTGCTGTCGAATATCAAAAATTTTTTTTTAGCAAGTAGCTACCATTACGACCGGTGGCTGAGTGGTAGCGCTTCACACTCTCGTGCCACAGGTCCTGGGTTCGATCCTCGGATCGAGAAAGATGGACTCAGCTTTTCATCCCTTCAGTGGGTCGATAAAGTGAATACCAAGCATGCTTGGGGACTAAACACTGGGGGTTCCGAGTTCGACTGATCACCAAACCGGAACATCTGTTCTAGCACCTCAAAGCTCAAGGTCAAGAAAACTGAGATGGGCACAGTAGGCCTTGGCTCTCTATGGGCTGTCGTGCCAGTGTGAGTTTAGTTTAGTAGCTAGCATTAATGAGCAGATGCGTGTCCATGCGTGTTTGTGTACCTTCTCCTGAAACCACATAAGAGGTATAAAATGACCTCATTAATTGAATGGGATCTGTTATGCGTATGTGGCTAACTGCAACCCGTCGTAGGTTTAAAAGGGAAATTTAGAAAGATTACTACTTGAATTACGTGCATGATAATTATTAAATATATGATATTTATGAAGTATGAAATAGTCTGCGATAGTTTTGAAATATCAAAAAGTCTGCGATATTTATGAAATATTAAATAATCTGAGGTAATTATGGAATTTATAACTGTGAATTGTTAAATACACAATAATGCAATTCTAATTTTTGTATTAATAATAATAGCGACAGTAAATCATAATGAATTAATTAAATCGTTCAGCGGGAAATTTAGAATAATCAGTCAAAAAAGTGACATTTGAGACGATAATTAAATGTGAAATATGCTAATTGAAACTTATAAAATATTTTTAAAAATAGGGTAAGTTTCTGCATACCCTATTTTAATGATTTGAGGGATCTAGGTCATTTTGATTTCACGGAGAAAGCATTAATGTACAATGTTTTAAAACCCTCTATAACTTATCTGAAACTTAACTTTGGATTATTAAATTTTTATAGGAGTCTTACATGGGCACAGATATTATTTAAATGCTAGTACTTATTTTTAAATAATGCAAAAACTTTTATAATTCAATTTTCATTAAAGCTTAAAAGTGAAAATTTTTTAATGAGAGCTATAAGCTAGCAACTATTACTGATGTAATCTTTAAAATATTTAAAAGAGAAAAAATAGGCTGCAACAGTCTCTTTTTTATCAATAGAGCCAATACAAAAAAATCCCATTTTTCATATGGCTCTACTTAATGAACTAACTGAAAAATTCGAACAAATTTTGGGAATAGGAGCTAACTTGCAGCCACTGACCAAATTTCAAGATGATTGAACAAACAGTTCTTAAGCTATATTAAAGACACACGGACGTAACAACAAACTATATCAAACAACAAACTTTATATATAGATAATCAAGTGCTAGTATGAATTTGAACAACGTGTTATATTCAGACTAAGTAATAAGTTTTAACTAAATAGGTTTATTAGAAGTTAAGAAATCTTGCGTGCAATTTAAAAAAAATTTGAATTTACAAAAGCAAAATCAATACAAAACTGAATAAATAACTTTAAATGAAATACTTGAATTTGTAGATAATTCCAGTTTCAAAAATAAAATTGTTATTTTCTGAACGGATTTCAGTTCAGTTTCTGATTTATTCAGTATGTTTCAATATCTTTGCTGTATCTTAGTAAATTTTTTAAGTATTATCCTATAATTTTGGTGTGAAATTGCTCAGAATCAAACAGGTCATAACATAGATTTTTCCTTCCAAAGAAATTGAAAGTTTTGTTAATAAAAACCTTTTGGACCCCTTAAACTGAATTAAAACGAATTAAATTCATTTTAATAGAAAGTTAAAAAGTCATAAAAGCAATAAATAACATTGTTTTTGTTCTTGTATCTTTCAGTGATGGAAGTTGCTTCTCCAAGTCACAGATCAGTATATGGTTTGAGTGTTGAGCTCGGCTGGTGTTTGGGGTTTATGAGTTTGCCTTTAATTGCCTGGATTCTTCGAGATTGGTTTTGGATTCAATTGACTATTTCGTTACCGAGTGCTTTTCTACTATTCACTTTCTGGTAAGAATAGTAATATTTTAATAGATAATTAAAAAAATGTGTTTCGTATAATTTAAACTTAAACGAAAGACGTTAATGTCGTCCACTTCTTTTTTTCTAAAATTATAAAAATCATTAACCTGTTTTTATTTAACATGCTTAAGAGGCGAAGTAATCTATTTATTCTGAAGTTTTACATTTTCACTAGTTTTTTAGAACTTTAATTTGGGGTTAATCTGATCTTTTATTAAAACTGGGGCGGAAAGGTATATTTTGAAACTGCCAATGATAAGGGTGTCTGGAGAATTAAAAACCATTCGAAAATTACTGAAAAGTATATTTACCTTGATGTTGTCACCGATTTGAAAATAAGGAGATTAAAGTGGCTGTGCTCAGCAGATTAGTGATAAAGCTATGAAAAAGATCTTCGATTCAAAATTTCGTAATTCTATCCTACGTAGAAAAAGATGGTTGGAGGATATTGGCCGAAAAGAACAAAAATTAAGAACTGGAAATCTAAAGACCAGAACAGTGAAAAATTAAAAGCTGTTCTGAGGCAGGCTAATGAGTTGGAGGTAGATCAGTATTTAAAATAATGAAGTTAGTGTCGGCATTGGTTTCGACATGATTTAACATGAATAAAGGTCCTAGTCATACTAGTAGACTAGTAGATGAAGTCTCTGGCCATATTAACATCTCTAGCGATATGCATGAGTGTAATAATACTTATTGGTAGTTAATATTAAAGAGTGTTGGTCATAATATATCAGTTTTGGATTTTTAAAGCTGCTGCATTGAGAGTAAATAAATAATTTTCTATACAGCCCGTTGTGGGCCAGAAGGGTCATGAAGGCGTTGTCTTCCAAACCTCTTAACCAATAACACGATGGTAACAATGTGGGAAGCATCGCGCAACGGTCACCTGTATTTCTCAGACAAGCTGGTACCCATAGATTTGAAGCTGTGTGGGCCTTAAGAAGTCATCGGAGATTAAACTTCGGTGCTTCACAATGACGATTTCGTGTCTTTAACCAATGAACAATCACGGCTAAATTGACAGTAAATACTGTTTCTTAAAGTTATGAAGCTGCGTTCATTTTGTTCTCATTTCAAATTAAAACTTGAAAAATAGGGTTTTGTCCCATCTTAGACTGGGCGATAAATTGATGCATCGGAAAATATCGATTCCATGCAATCATCGCTGATCCGATGTTTGGATTGGCAATTTTTCAAAGCATCGGAAATTGTGATTTACTAAGGATGTGTACGATATTTCGAGATGTATCGTTGACATCGATGTCTACAAGCTCGATGTTGAGCATTGTTCCCGATAGTAGTAGATTTTCTTCCGTATGAGTGTAGTGCAGTGGTTCCCAACCTTTTGTGGACCATCGCCCCTCTCTGACACATATATGGCCCCTTTCTCTTTTTGCTCAAAAAACCATTCATTGTTGCTTGTGAGCAACCAAACACTGAAAATATGCTATGTTATTTGATTTCAATTTAAATTGTAATGCAAATAAGGAGGCACATTTATCCTGTCATTTTTATTAATTAAAAAAAAATTGTACATCTTTTTTTTTCAAAAAGATATGATATTTAAAACAGAATAATCAAAACAAAAGTACATTTTTTTAAGCTCATATTTTAATGTAATCAAGAAAAATTTAAAACGTTAACAACTAAAATTTGAGAAAAAAAAATGAAGAGGGTGAAAGTACATTTTTACCACTTCAATGACTGCCCTGTGCTTGGTGTATTTCAAGTTAAATCTTGAATGTCAGGTTTTATGCTCGTCAGATTTATACGCGAGTCTCCTTTGAAGCAAATGCCCAACCTATCTCTTTGCTTTATGAGCAGCTGGAAGACAGAACTAAATCCTCTCTCCACTAAATATGTTGACGGGAACGAGATGAGAAGCGGCTCAGTTTGCTTCCACAATTGTGGATAAGTGTCCATATGCTTTACCCAAGCTAACTCGTTACCGTATTTTTTAAAGACGACTTTGGCCTCACAGTCATACTTCAAATCTAAAAACTAAGTCTACAAAGAGGAAGTGAGCTTATTCACAACTTCAAAAGAGAAAGGATTGAAAATCGAATTTCGATTGAAAATTGAATTTCTAATTTCATCAAATCTTTAATTCTTGATTCCATAACTGATCAAGGTGATCAGTAAAAATCAAGATTTTATTTTCGAGAATCTCGATATCTGCCATTGAACACTTTTTAAGAGTTGGAAATTGCATTAGCTCTTTGCGACCAATGTTTGAGTTGTAGATATCAAACTTGGCGATGAATAAAGATATGATTCCCTTAGCCTTGATAATGTTCATTTTATTTCCTTGAAGTTTTACGTTGATTTCCTTCATTTTTTCGAAACTATGAGTGAGGTACGCAGTTTCCAACTTGCGTTGCTTCAAACCCTCACTTACAACAGGATCAGTGGTGTCGAGAAACTCAGTAACCGAATTCAGCAATTCGAAGAAGCTGCTCAGTTTCCTTTCAAAAGCCATCTCACAGCTACATGTCGGAGCAGGAATTCGAAATCTTCATCATTTTCATGTCGAAGTTCTCGGAACAATTATATTAGGAGAATTAGCTTTTATTAGGAGAATTAGCTTTTATTTTATTGATGCCAGAAATAACCAATTTTTCGCAGCCAAAAGTTGACGATGAATGACATAATGAATGGTGAGATAACTTCCGGTACTTCTTTTTTAAGGTGACCCAGAAACCCAGTATGACAACCAGACATGATTGGAGCACTATCTGTTGCACAAGCACTTACATTTGTGAGGGGAATTTCTTTTACCTCAAAATACTCTTTGACCAATTTAAAAATCGACGATCCTTTTGTATCTGTGTTCAAAGTTCTTGTAAACAACCTTTCCTCGTTAATCTCCTTACTCTCATTTGTGAATCTCACGTAAGCTAAAACAGCTTTGTTATCTATCACAGTTGATTCATCAATCTGCAACGCAAATTTAACTTCTTTTGATTCAACGTCGGCGGCCATCTCATCAATACGCCTGGAAACAGTATTATTGCTTAGAGGAACAGAGCGACTTATCAGATTTCCGCCTGCGATACCAAAACGTATGACGAAAACGATCCTGCACTTGAATTTTTTTTAATTTTTAACTATCATAATTCTTTGTCTACACCAGAACCATAGGTTTCATATATATTTTCAATTTCAATCTCAAATAGCTTTTATTATTAATATTATTAGCAATTTTTATCTTTTGAGTACTCGTCGCCCCCTGATCGCCCCCTTGAGAAGCTCTATCGCTCCCAGGTTGGGAACCACTGGTGTAGTGTTAACTGTGGCGATGCTCGTCATCTTTCCCCGTCTTTTTCACATCGGGACTCATCGTTTTGCTAACATGATGAATCCGAATGTGATTCAGAATCGAAGCGTTGTTGAATCTTTTAGTTATGGAAGGGTTTTCTTTTAATTGTGTGTGTGCAACTCTTGTTGATTTACTTACACTCAATCCAGTAGGTTTAATTTTTTTAATCGATATTTTTTCAGGCATCCACATCTTTAAATATTGAGAAATAATTATAAGAAAATGTAACTTACTGATAGCGAATTTACTCAGTACTAAATATAAAACATTAATGAACCGAAACATAGCGATGCATAAAAATATCACGATATTAGCGTGACGATACGTCACGATGCCAAAATCTTGACATCGCCCAGTCCTAGTCCCATCATATAGTTTTGTAAATATAAACGTAGGTGTACCAGACACATTCAAACAAGAATTTATGAAATGATGCTTTCCTCGTGGGTCCTAACGTCCTGCCTTATGAATAAAAAAATCAGTTTAAAAATAACTCGTATGTGAACAGAAGCTTAATATTCAGAAAATTAGATCCTCAACAGGTGGAATATGAAAATGAGTTAATAATTTTTTCAAATTCAAAATTAATAATAATCTTTTTTAAATAACAGGTTGCTTTCAGAATCTCCACGATGGCTGGTGGCTCATGGAAGGATTAAAGAAGTTGAAAATGTTTTGACTAAAGATCGCAAAACATCTGTTGTTGACAGGATCAATTTAAGAGAAAATATTAAAGAAATAATTCTCAACAAAAATAAGGTAAGAACTTCTTTTTATAATAAATGCTTAAAAAGAACATAATATAATCTCTGACGGATAAAAAAATTATCTTATTATTTTAATTTCAAAGTAAATGCTTTTTACATGTTTTATACATAAAAAAAGTTTTATTTAATAGTACGAGAATATTAACTTCATAAAAATTTCCATTAAAATTTCTTATAACTTTTTCCTATACTTTATTTTTCCTGGGAGGTATTAAAATGTATAATTGTTTAATTTTAGGAAAACGAGAAAAAGCAAAGTGATAATTTTCTAGGTTTACTAAAAACTCATGGTGTGTGGAAAAACGTGTTAAATTTGTTTTATATATGGTAAGTAAATTACATATAATAAATTTTTTTCTATATTTGAAACTTTTATCGAAAAAGAATGTTCCCTAGCGTTCAAAAAATAAAAATGTAAAAAAATATGAAAAAAAGAAAACCAAAATAAAAATATAACTGAATACATTTTATACTTTATTTTTAAATTATATGTCGAACTAAACAACATTTTATAATAAAATCGGCGTTATTTTAAATTTGTATAAAAATTTAGATAATGTAAAAGGTGATTAAAAGTTTGAGCAATTTGTAAAGATAAAAATGTATATAAATGAGGACAGCGAGAAATGGAAAATCCTCATGTACTAAGTAAGAATTGCTGGAAATATTATGGTGTCCACTCTGAGAGTGAGAATGACCGTCTAGCCCTTTTGGCTATAGAATATAACCAGCATCAAGGAAATTAGCTACATAAGACTTTAATCAAGGTAATCTTTCTTCAGTAAGCGATGTTTATTGATTGAATTGGTTGTTTTGGCCATGTTGTGATGTCGGCAGTGCATCTCAGTGCAGGTCTGGTACCTTACATTAATCCAGCCTCAATCAACTTTTTCAAATTGCCTGTGTCATGCATGCAGCCATATTGAACAAGTTCTTAAACACAAACGTTGTGGGTTTTCCTTCTTGATACATTCTAAACGGCATGAATCAGCAAAGTCTTCAAAGATCTCATATCTTGGAAGATCTTTCCAAGTAGCGTAACGTTTAGAACTTAGAGGAAAGTAAAAAAAACCTCGGAGTTTGTGATCAAGAACCTGTGCCATTGAGTCGCGTGCAAGGAGGGAGCCAAAGTGAAAAAACTGGTTGTGGGAGAGTGTGAATGAGAAATCTGAAATGCAGCTGAGTTTTGTTTCATCGTGGCTCAGTAGATAGGACACTCGCCTCCCAATTGAGGTGAACCAGGTTTGAATCTCAGCGTTGACTGATCGATAACAATTCTACTCTCTCCGACCAGAGTGCCGACACAAACTATCCTCAGTGGTAGACGGATCACGGGTTAGAATCCTCATGTCCGTGACGGGTTTTCGTGCTTTTCCTCCCCATGTAACTCAAATGTGAGTTAGTCCTATCAAAAAGTCACTAGTTTGTCCCAGTGCTTGATCCAGGAGTTCCATTGTCTTCTGGATTGGATTCAAAATTGCAAGGCAACTGAGTTAAGCATCGATGGCCGTAAACTGTTCAATGCCTGTTATAAAATGAAATGTACCGTGGGAAAGAGTATTAGTTAATACAGAGGTGCCATCTATCATGAGAGAAGAGAAATATTTGAGTTTACCTCGGATGGCGATGGATGAAGTTTTGTAGTATCGTCAATGACTCCATGAGAAAGTTCCATGTTTCAAAAGTCCTAGGACACCAATTGAAGAGTTCGTGGAATGACAATTCTTCATATATTATGAGAAAAGGAGGAAATATTGTGGTGTCCGTACTGGTAGTTGTACTACCTTTCAGGCAGTCGTGAGAACGATAACTTAGCCCTCTTGCCTAAAATATATACATAGCTTCAATGAGCTAAGTGACTTCCTAAAACATTCACATGTGATAGTGTTATCATATGCTACTTATATATACCATATTTTTTTAACTATTATTTATTCACTTTAATTAACTCTAAATTTATACATAAAACTTGATTAAATATACCCATAAAATATATATACGTGCTCTTTATTAGAAAAAAATTACATGTATTATGCGTATATTTTAATCAGCTGAGAAACTATTTGTGGTCTTACAATGTATTTACCCTTTTTCTTCATAGGTGTGTACTAGGATTTGTATATTATGGTCTAACATACAATACAAATGAGTTGGCTGGAGATCCATTTATAAACTTTGCCGCATCTGGTGCAGTTGAAATCCCAGGCTATCTCATCTCCATATTTATTATTAAATTCTATGGGAGAAGAAATCCTTTATCAGCATTCCTAATAATCGGTGGTGTTGCTTGTCTTCTGATGTATCCAATTCCTTCTGGTAATCATACTAGTTATTATTCTTGAGCTCAATTTAATGTGCCTTCTGATCTGATGCTTCATTCTGTTATAATAGTTATAACTTTGAACTTTATTTACGAGGGTTGCTATTTATATTTCTGGCCTAATAATGAAAAAACAAATATGTGGGATCGATATTGGTTTTATTGTTTTTCAAAATATTCTTCATGATGATCAATACACTTTTGCATGTGTTTGAACCAATTTTCAAAGCACTTTTTCCAGTCCGATTGAGGTAACTCCAAAACATGCGTTTTGAATGCATCAACCGCTTCTTCGGGGGTCGAAAATCGTTGTCCACGTAATTTATTTTTGATGTGTGGGAATAAGAAGAAGTCATTGGGTGCCAAATCAGGGCTGTACGGCGGATGACCCATCAGTTCGATCTTTCGCTCCGTCAGAAATGCCTTTGTTTGAGTCGATGTGTGAGAGCTCGCATTGTCATGATGAAGAATGATTCGCCTGTTCTTCTGCTTTTTTCGAATTTCTCCGATGACTTCTGGCAAACAAATGGTCGTGTACCATTCAGAATTGACCGTCCTGCGTTGCTCTAACGCCACTGTTGCCACATGACCGTTAATGCCGAAGAAACAGGCAATCATTTGTTTCGATGTGCTTCTTCCTCGAACAACTTTTGTTGGTTTTGCCTCGTCTTGGAAGACCCATACAGTTGATTGCTGTTTTGTTTCCGGCTCATATGCATAGATCCATGATTCGTCACCTGTGTAGATGTTATACACAGCCTTTGATGTACCTTGAACGTATTTTTCCAACATTTCCTTGCACCAATCGACACGAGCCTTTTTTTGAGCGTTTGTCAGATTATGCGGGATCCAACGCGAACAAATTTTTTTTACGCTCAAATGTTCATGCAATATTTTATTGATGCTAGTCATACTAATGTCCAAAGACGCCTCTATCTCACGGTATGTCACATGACGATCTTGCTTTATCAGTTCACGCACAGCATCGATCTTTTCTGGCACAACAACGGATTTTGGACGACCTGCACGGGATTCGTCCTGGATCGAACATCGACCACGATTAAATTCGTTATACCAATTTTTTACAGTGCTGTAGGATGGCGCTTTATCGCTGAATAAAGAATTAAGTTCATCGAAGCACTCTTGTCTTGACAATCCACGTCGAAAGTTATGAAAAATAATGGCACGAAAATGTTCACGATTCAATTCCATTTTTTGAAAGAGAAGAACTTTTCAATTTACTGTCAACAACACAAATGAAGCTATAATGGTAAATCGTCTGCTGAATTTATGTTTAAAAATATCAAACTTTCGATTAAAATCGTCTGCGGTCGCCTAGCAACACTTACTGTTGCCAAGGTCAGAAATATAATTAGCAACCCTCGTAGTATGTTTAATCTTCTTATGTGCCCTATTCCTAGTTGCATGCTATTATTTTTAAACTTATTTCCACATCTTGTCTTCTGATGTATCCAATTCAATCTGGCAACACTATTACATTTCTTGACCTTTACTTAGTGTGTCCTATTTTCTGAAGTACTTACCTCCTAAGGTTTTACTATACTTACGTTTCTTGGAATTTATTTTGTGTGTTTAAAAAATTGTTGTTCAGAAAGCCAAGTTAGCAGCATTATAAATCTACGAAATTTAATGTGAAGTCCATACCATAGGCCATATTATTTAACATGCAATTCAAATCCGGGACTCAACTCTCATATGTAATGGAAGCTTCTTGGCAGTGTTATAGATGCTAGCTGGCTCATCCAATGTTCCTCGTTATATGGAGGTAGGAAAACTTTTAGCCCTTGCACCAGTGTGCAAGTGGTAAAAGAACTAATAATTATAGACTAATAGATCATGATCTAATTATTTGTTCTTTGACTATCAAGCTTTGTCAAATACATTTTAGAATACTTCGACCTCTCCTGAGATTATGTTTACATTAACCCAGTAATTGTGATGAACTGCTTAGTTGAAGACAATCCTTTAAACCGTGGAGAATCAGCAACAACAACATATAACCCATACAATTTAATCCATGCACACATTTTAGAATATATTTCGATCTATTTTAATTTATTATTCAGTCAAATTTTATGTATAAATATTATTCTTTTGCCAGTTTTGAAAAATGAACAAGTGGATTTAGCCTTTGTGCAATTCTTGAAATGTTTTTTGACTTATAACTTAATTATTAATTCTTGGAAAATCATGCTATACTTAAACCATTATTCACTATTTTCGTTAAAACTTGATTTCTCACCTGATTTTTTTCTAAAAATATGGAAGAACAAGAGGCATTAAATTCGTCATTAAAAATAAAAATTTAAGGGAATTTTTTTAATCTATTGAATTTTATTATTCCCTAAGATTTTTCATATTAAATATGAAGAAAAAATCTTGGCAGACTAGAATAAATAATTATAATTATAGATAAACATTTCGATATCTAAAAGTGCCTAATAAGGGAATGATGAACATTTGCAAAGAATTTTGATTTCATACCGGATTTTCTAACTTATTTGAAACATAATGAAAATAAAATATAAACTGATTGGCAATTTTTTAAAAATTGAAGCCATGAAATATTTTTTAGAGATCTGTGTCAAAATAAAACAAAGCCTATTAGAATTCAAATTTATTATGCATTCAAAAAAAATGACCCAATCTTTACAATAATTGCAATTAATTAAGAAACCGCATACTACTCTTGAAGATATGAGAACTTTTTTAGCATATGACATCGAAATGTCATTCATAGATTCAAATTGCGGCAGATCGTGTAATTTTAAAATCCAAAAGCACAGAGCTTTCAGCAGCCCTACTGGAAGTAATTTTGAACTATAAGTACATCTGGTTCATGTAGGGTACATACTAGGTCAGGAGGTAAAATACGTCACGAGGATCTAGAATTGTATAGCAACCTGTGGCCGGAAATGTCACAATATACCACTAGGAGTGCTTGCCTATTATGAACTTCCTGTTCATGATTTGATTATTATTGCCCTTAAACTGTGAAGTTTATTTAACTTAACTGTGAGCTAATTTTATGCTTCGAATAATTACTATCCAATATAACATTAATATAGAGTCAGAAATAGCTGTTTTAACGACATCTAATGACCTTGGGGCTCCTTTGACAGGTTTACCAAGTAGTTCGTCAAAACATTAGATTACAGTGGGTTGTTTTGTAATCCTCATACTTGTGTCTTCTCCATACTTGATATAACTGTACTCATTTACCCAGTCTGCAAAATGCTTTTAATTTATGTATAACATAAGAGTATTGTTATACATAAATAAATTTAAGCTCATATTTATTTAAACATTTTTAAACTTATTTTAATAGGAAAAGAAAAAAATTTTGTTTGCAACATTTACGGGGGTTTTAGCCCCGGATCTTTCAGTCGTGATGATAAATTAAGCACTGAAAAGAACTAAAATCCTTTTTAACTGTCCAACTTATCAAACCGTTATGTTTTTTCTTATTTTAGGACATATTATTAGGATCTAATTTCTTGTTTAAAAAAATATTTTTTTATTTTGCAGATATGTTGTGGATCAGCTTTTGCATCTCGATGTTGGGAAAATTTTGCATCACTTGCGCTTTTGGAATCATTTACATTTATACGGCGGAAATACTACCAACAGTAGTAAGAAATGTGGGAATTTCTTCAGCATCTTTTTGTGCAAGAATTGGTTCGATTTTAGCCCCCTTTGTCAGAGAACTGGTGAGCAGATAGTGAAGATAATATTAATTATTAAGAAATGTATTATAATAGGTTAACATTTTAATAAAATACATCATGAATTTATGCCAACCATAGCATATAGTTAAGTATAGAGAGAAGTAAAAAATTGTTGGGCTATACTTCAGTGAATTGGAACAGAAAGAATATCCCAAAAGTTAACAACACTATATGAATGCGTGTTAAAGATATATATGTATTATTAGATCGTTAATGCATCACAATAACTAAATTATTTTCTATCATAATTGTTCTTATTGGTATTAATCTTTTTTTATTAGACCAACTCACTTAAAGTAAATGTAAACTTTCTGGTTCAATATTTCTATCTGGTTTTAAAGTGTGTCCTTTGCTTAAGAGTTGGTTCGAAAACTGAAGAGCTAATATCATAAATATTAACCTTTATTTTTGGAATTTTTTAATAATTTTAAATGTTACAAACTTTTAAATAATACTTTAAAAAGATTTAGTTGAAATACATTATTAGTTTATTTAACGATGAGAAATTTAAGTTTAGTTTAAAGTGAAATAAAAAAGTTATGTCCAAAAATTTGACTGAGAAATTAAGAAAAAAAACTTGTGTATAAGTGTTAAAGATAACATATATCCTCAGATCCTTAATACACCACAACACGCTATTTTCTTTCATAGTTCTTAATATTAGTGTATTTATTTATTATCATGAGACCACTTATAAGGAATATATATTTCTGGTTTTATATTTAACGTCAACTGTGCAAAAGTGTTTTTCATTATTAAATTGATATAAATGTACCCATAAACATACAACAACTAAATTTAATTACATTATTAACTAGGGAAAATATCCACTTAAAATATACTATCATATCTAACAGCTAAGTAATATTCGAATATATGTAAGAAAAAATAAAATCATGCACTTATTGACAAAACAAATGCGCAATTTTCCCTAAATTTCGTATGTTTGTTGAATAGGGTAATGCTACTCATCCAGTAGTGCCACAGATAATATATGGAATTTTGGCAGTTATTGGAGGCCTCTTAATACTGTTATTACCAGAAACAAATAACTGCACAGTACCTGACACATTTGAAGAAGCAGCACATTTTAGATGGTAAGTAAAACTATCAATAGTTTCATTTGATTTCTCTTACCAATAATACCAAATAGACTGAAATATTAAGAGAAACACAGGTCACTTGACTGATTTAATCTATACTAGAGACCCTATATCTAACATAGTTAGAGAGTTAACGGGTAACACTCTGATAGAGAGAATCAAAATTTACCAAAGATAAACGAAAGAAAGATTTCCTCGTTTACTTAACGTGGAGAAATCGGAAATGTAATTTTAATCAAGCAGAATCTCGAAATTATTGGTAGGCTTTCTCCTTTCTTACTTTCCAACTTAATCATCTAACTCTAATTTTCAACTTCCAATTTTGTTTAAGTACCTTTTATTTACACAAAAATAAAGCCAAATAACCATATATTTTGTAAAAATAATTTGTATTTAAAAACTATGATAGCTATTCTCATTTATATTCAGTTATTTATGCAATTATATAGGAAATAAAAGTTTTTTTTTTTTTGGTGATAAAACGTTTTCTGTCTTGTTATAAAGTTAATTTTAGAAGAAAAAAAAAGTCTTTTTTTTATATTCATAGTTGAATCAAAGAATAAATAATTTCCGCAAGATTAGTGGAGATTGTGTGTCATTAGGCTGATAAGAAAATAAAACGTGGCTCGATATTGTTAACATGATTTTAATGCAGAGTAAGAAAAGGGTCTTTCAAACGTAACGTTAGCATATTTTTAACAATTTAGAACCTGTCCTCCCTTTTCTCCAAAAGCAAGCAAATCACAAATCTCCTCCCAAGCTTATGTAAGAAAGTCGTAACCCCCCTCTTATTTGTTGCTCTAACTTTGACTTCTACAGTAATAATCAAAAACTAGGAATAATATTCAACTAAAATATGACTTAACTTTGCATAAAACAACAATTATGTTTCAATTCATTTTATTAAATTTTGAGTAGAATATTCTTTAGAAATATTTCGTGTTTTTCTTTCCTAGATCAATAACTCTTGACTATTCAAACTCCTTAAAGAATTTTTTTACAACTATTTCATACTTACTTAACTTTTACTTCAAACTTAAAATTTTTAAAGTGTAATTTTTTTATAATTTTTTCGCAACATTTTTCATTGTCTTTAAAAAAAAATTCTGAAAATAAGGGGATTTTAACACATTGCTTATACTTCTTCCTTGTCTTGAAAGAGGAGCAAATCCTGAATCCCCCTTCGTGTTTTGAATAAGCATTGCTCGTACTACTGTTTTTTCCTTGTCTTGAAGGAGGAGCAAATCCTAAATCACCCTTCATGTTTTGAATAAGCATTGCTCATACTCCTGCTTCTTCCCTGTCTTGAAAGAAGAGCAAATCCTAAATCCCCCTTCGTGTTTTGAATAAGCATTGATCATACTCCTGCTTCTTTCTTGTCTTAAAAGAGGAGCAAATCCTAAATCCCCCTTCTTGTTTTGAATAAGCATTGCTCGTACTCCTGTTCTTCCTGTATCATCATAGAGGAGTAAATCCTAAAAACCCCTTAGAAGCTCATGGAATATTTGAAAGGATCCAATGTGATATCTGAGAAAAATTGTCAAATGACAATTGAATTCCGATTTCATTCTTCTATCGTGTCGTTACTCTCTGACTCTGTTAGATTCAGGGTGTCTATTCTACAGGGCTCGAAAAACCACCCGTCGGCCCGTCCTCGGCTGTCAAAAACTCCCATCGGGCAACAAATTTCTCGAACGTCCGCGCGGACGGCCATTTTCCCGTTAATGTTCATGATACATTTTCAATTTTTGTTATCTTGCAATCTTTTTTGAAGGAGTAGATAAATTTTTTTTTCTTTCAAGAATGGGTGTCATTAAAATTTAAGATACATAACATCGTTAAACACTAGAAAACTTCAGCCCTCTGAACCCAAGCTGTTTATAAAGACCTTATGCAGCAAAATGACCCACATGCAGCAACATACAGCGCATGGCGGAACTGATAAACAAGAAGCGTTAAACGCCTTTATGAGCATCTACCTAAATGGAAAACCTCTTTCAGATTTCTGTGCAGAAACCTCTGTAAATCATTGGCTTGATTGTGGAACTGGCAAACGTCATATTTGATTCAATTAAAAAACGCAATACCTACCCTCGGATAAATTGACATTCCAGATAACTTGACCTTTGTCATTTAAATTATTTCATAAAAGAAATAAATTACTTCATAAAAGAAATACTAGGTTACTATTAGTAACCTAGTATTTCCTTTATTACTGTATAATGCAATCCTAGTAACTACTAATTCATTGTGCAATTTATATAAATGTTTGTAATAAATAGGAGAAAATTATATTTTATTTATTTAGAAGCTACTGGTTAGTTTCATAGGAGGACGGGTACATTGTTGGACAAGCTGTTCTCGGGGACGGGTAAAATTTCTGAGTTTTTCGAGCCCTGCTATTCTACGCCGTCTTGGACAAAAGAGAAGAAAAAAAGATTTCTCATAGATATATCTTAAGTTGCGTATTGAAATTGTCTTCTGTTGCATCGTTATCAGAAATAACCAACAACCTTAGGTAGAACACTAAAGAATGAAGTATGTTTCATAAAAGAAGATAGTTTAACTATCTTGTTACAAGTGTCGCATTTAGATAACGAAATGATTTTCTTCCGGTACTTAAAAATATAATAATGGTGGGAAATTGACAGATTATTCATAACTAAACATCAGCAAGATATCCATGAGTACCATAATAAGTAAAGTACGAGCAAATATTATTTGACTATAAGAATGTATTGATCTGGAATTTTTTCTGAATAAAAGTGATAATTAATGAAATTTTCACTGAGATTGGGATATTTTGCTACTTATACATTTATGAGCTATAACATTTTGTAGTATCTCTGCTACTACTAAGACACTAGGGCTGTATCAGCATAAAATATTCAATGTTTCATTGGGAAAAACTTTTGGCAGACAGTCAGTAAAAATATTAAATAGAAGTTTGCACACAGTTTCGATTGACAACGCCATCTGGTGCCCCCCAAAACAAAAATTCGTTGGAAGTTTAACTGGATACCCTTGGATCCAACCTACTTCCTACATAAAATTTCGTGGTTAGTGTAATCTTACAATACGTGATAAAAGAATACAAAATATTTAATTCTATAATAACAGAACTTTCTTTGAAAGAAACGCGCTTAAAGCCAGCAGAATTTTCAAAACGAAGAATAATTGAAGCATTAAGGAAAAAAGCTATGGAAATGAAAATAAAAATATGGCCACCGAAGCCTACGTCTTCAGAGTCTGTGAGTTTTTATTTTTTCACTTTTGTATTATATTCTCAAGATTTTGTTTGAAATTTCTCTTCTGATTTGATTTTATGTATTTCTTGTATTTCTTCCTGGACTTTTACAAAACCCTCGGGGTACTGAGACAGCTAATTTTGACATTTGTCCGCTCTCTCAATAGAAAAGGTTTTGTTCCATGGCTTCCGGAGCTGGTACCCCCTGAAGACGTCGGCTTCAGTGACCATATTTTTATTTTTATTTTAATTGTTTTTTCTTTATTATTTACAATACGTGGCTAATCTTTCTTTTATTTTTTAAATTTTTTACTTACTTTTTAAGTTACAGGAGATGTTTTTTTTTCAAAACATAGTGCGTTGCGTACTAAATGTGCTGACCTTTTATACCTTTTTACGAGTGACGGTGGGTTTAATTTTTAGGTTTTTTTTTCAACGGCACCGATGAGCGTATGTCTTAAATATATAATGGACGCATGTTTAATAAGCTCAAATCTGTATTTAAAGGGCTTTTATAGAGTCAAAACTAATCTATAATCACAATGTATATTCATTTCATTTTAATGCTTTAATTTTTTCATAGCTAATGTAATATTACTTTTCAATCATGTAGCAAAAGTTCTGATAGAAGAAAAGCTAATCACCACATAATTATGAAAGAATTTGAGTGTGAAAAGGCTTAGTTTCTTGCCATTTGGTTAATAGGGTGCATTAAAACTTATTTTTCGAATTTCAAAATTGTAAGTCTATAGTAAATTTTTACTGTGGTCATTTATTTACATTTTTTTCTCAAAATATGAAGTATTTAGGTTTCTTTAATTGATGATTAAGTTTCATTTTTTTAAATTTTGCGTCAAAAACATAATTTTATTTTTTAAAAGCATTTCATAAAAAAATATTTTTATTTATTTAAAAGCATTCATAATTTTATTTATTTAAAAGCAAAAGAGTACAAATTTTAGTTTTTAAATTCAAACAATGTAAAGTTTAAAATGAAAAACTAACATTAAAAAACTATTTGCAGAATATAACATTTAAGTCCCCTAGAATAATGCTGAAGATTAAAATTTTTTATTTGTGACAAAAATATAATTTAATTTTTAAAATAAAGTATAGATACAAAAAAATTATTTGTTTAATTCAAAAATGTAATGTTTAAAATGTGAACTGTAAGTAAAGAAATTATGTACAAAATGTAACATTTAGGTTTCCCTGAAAGGATGCTTTAGTTGTTTAATTTTGTATCAGAAACATAATTTCAATTTTTTAAAAGCATAGATACAAAACAAACTTTAGTTTTTAACTTCAAAAATGTGATGGTAATACCAACTGAAAATTAAAAAATTGTGTTCAGATTTTTACATTCAGGTCCACCGGAATCTAAATGAAACTCTAAATCTTACCCGGAATCAAGGGCGCCGGCAGCGGGGTGCAAGGGGGTGCACTTGCACCCCCCTGGCTTTTTTTAAACAATTAAAGAGATACAGAAAAAAAATTTGGTTATAAAATTTTTTTTATTAAAAATATTTTTATTCAAGAACAAATAATTAAGTAATTATTGATACATAACAATTAAAAAATTGTATAATCAAGCAAGAATTGTAANCACTTTTAACACAATTTGTAAATTGTCATTTTTTTTAAAACATTGGTGGCTGCTATTATTTACAAATATGAGAATCCTCTGCTTTTCCGCTATTTAATAATTTTTCCTCAACTTCTGATTTTTATCAGATTTCCGTTATAATATGATAAAAAATATAATTAGAACTTCTATTAATTTTAAACTTAATGAAATAAATTTTATGTTGTTCACTGAATTGTATAAATTGTGTCCTACTGAAACAAAGCCACTTTGATATTTAAGCATAACAACGAAAAGAATTTATATTAAAATTTATATGCATCAATATATTTACAAGGAATAACTTATATCTTGTCTCATCTAAGCAAGAAGGAAGTCGCGATAATGTCCCTTAATAGCCAAGGGCGCCCTCAGCGGGGTGCAAGGGGGTGCACTTGCACCCCCCTGGCTTTTTTTAAACAATTAATTGGTTATAAAATTTTTTTTATTAAAAATATTTTTATTCAAGAACAAATAATTAAGTAACTATTGATACATAACAATTAAAAAATTGTATAATCAAGCAAGAATTGTAATCATCTTGTTAGCTGTCCAAATCTGTTTATAACTTTTTCAATGAATTCAGAGTCATCTTTTCTTATGCACACTGAGCATGCACAAACTACTTAATCTCTCGTGAAACATTGTAGACGGATTCCATATTTTGATGCGTCGCATTGTACTAAAAGTGCGTTCAATAGTGCACGTAGTCGCTGGAAGAGTTAGGCCTGCTTCCCCGCTACAGCTGGATAAAACGGTGTGGCCTCTATAACTAAATCGATGTATTCGAGGGATTCATAAGATATTGAAATAGATGAAAAAAATTAACAGATGGAGGCATATGTAATGACAAAACAAAATGTAACAGAATATTTTCACTTTTTTAGGGGGAAGGGTAGTTTGTTAGAGGGTTGCACCCCCTTTTATATTATTCTGCCGGCGCCCTTGCCCGAAATCCATATATGAGTAGCATAATCTAAAAAAGATAAATCTAAATTTCCAAGAGAAAATAGGAAAGTTTCTAATTTATATATTTAAAAATATAAAATTATTAAATATGTAAGCTTATTGACAAATTTTTATCAATTTGAAATTTTGAATATCGAAGAAAAAAGATTACTTCTATCCACCCTATTAGTTAAACTTCAAGAAAAGCAATAAAGCAACGAATTGCCATTGCCATAAGGAGAACAATAAAACAACGATTTGCCATTGCCATAAGGAGAACAATAAAACAGCGATTTGCCATTGCCATAAGGAGAACAAAGCAACAAGAAATAATGAAAAATGAAGAGAATTACAAGAAAAAATATACTGTACATTCATATATTTTTAAATATATTCAACATTGTGCAATTTGTTCCAAAAATTAAAAAAAAAAAACAAAATAAATAAAATTTTAAAACCAATTGCCTAGCTTCTTTATTTTCTACATATTACATATTGTTATAGATCATAAAATGTTTAAGTCATTAAAATATTTATTTCATTTACTTAATTTCTGACTTATTTGGTTGAGATACATTTAAATAACAATTCTGTAGTACAATTTATTTTATATATTTTTTTCTAAATATGTTTAAAAGAAAAACATTTAAAGTTATTTACTTTTAAAATTTTGAAAATACGACTTAATATAATTTCTATATTAAGTCGTTAAGTATTTTTTCTATTTTTTTTTTCGAAATTATTTATTATCGAATCAATTAAATTACTTACATACCTGCCAACTCTTCCAGAAGATTTTATTTTGATATTTAAAGTGGTAGTAAATATATACTATTTTTCTTTTATAATTTTAATTTTTAAATGATTTTGATCACCACTATTCTTACAAAAATTGAGCACATATATTAATATGCGTTACTATCATGGTTGTCAACTTAAGCTTTCTCAAATACAACGTATTTGTTTGCTTAAAATTGAAGTTTTAATTCCATTTTAATACCACTGGGAAAAATTATAATGGAAAGGATTAAAAGTTGGCAGGTATGTACTTATACTAATTTCACTCAAAGATACTATTTGGTAAAAATACTACTAAAAATATTATCTGGTAAGTTAGAGCTTGTTTTTATTATTATTTTGATTATGTTTATTATTTTGATTTGAAATATATTTAAGTAACAATTCTGTCGCACAATTTATTTTATATATTTTTTTCTAAATATGTTTAAAAGCAACCGATTGAAAGTTATTCACTTTTAAAATATTAAAAATATGATTTAATGCAATTGTTAAGTGTATATTTTTTCAATTTCTTTCCTTCAAATTATTTGCAATCAAATCAATGAAATACTAATTTCACCCAAGAATTCTATATAGTAAATTAGAGTCAGTTTTTGATACTATTTGGTAAAAATGCTTCTAAAAATACTAAAAATACTATTTGGAAAGTTTGAGTTCACTTTCATAATTATTTCGATTGATTCATAAAACATTTTCAAAATTTGATTGAGCAAAAAATTAAAAAAAAAAGAAAAAAAACATAATTTTCCAGCTAAAACATAAGTTTATTGCTCATTTGAAATATTGTTCTCAATTTTTAGTAGTTGAAATTATTATTTTCTTCTAATGACAACTCATTATCTTCATTTATGGAATTAACAGGGTTTTAATTTGAAATTTACTTTTTAGAATTTCAAACATTTTTATTCATAAGCAATTGGACAAAACAAGTACACTAATTAAATTTTTTTTAAAATTTGTGTAAGATTCGACGCTATAAAAATAATAAAGTTTAAATTTATTCACTCAGTAACTCAAATAGTGAACAAATGTCGAAATAGAATTTAAAACTGTATCAAACCACTGCAGCTCCTAGTGTTTGCTTGAGACATGATTCATCTCAAAATCTTGATAAATAGGAACCATAAAAAAATGAATAAACGAAAAAGGAAAATAAATAATTTTGTTTTTTTTATTGCAATTCATCAAAACGATTTTTAATATTTTTTTCTGAAATTAATAATTTTTCCATTCTAAATACGCATCTTACAAAAAAAAATTTTTTTTTAAATTTTACATTATCAGAGCCTCTTTCATATTCCCAATACGATTAAATTTTCATACACATTATTGAAAATTTAAGTTATTTTTTAGCGCACACTATCCATACAAAATATGTGATCTCAGAGCAAGTTTTTATTTTAACACAATAAGCTCATTACTGAAATAATGTCCGATAAGTGAAAAATAATTTTGATCATCAATAAGCAATTTAGTTATCTACAATGAGAAGGATATTCATTATGTGTTATGAAATATGGGCACTGTTTCCACGAGTTGTGAGAAAACTCGCCAAAAAGCGATGCCAAATGTGCTATTTACAGCCACTGAAATGAAGCGTCGTCAGAAATAGGTCGATATAATCTCTGCCTTCTTTCTAAGAAGCGAAGTTCTCTTCGTCAGGAAATAGAATTAATATTTGAGCTGTTGATTTAGTACAAACATTTAATGTTCTTTTACGAAAATACATGTTGACAAACACGCGAGGAATCCCTATAGTAGTGAAGTCCCGATACAGTAACCATGGCAACTGAACGATTGGCGATCTTTTTTCTTCTATAACTTTGCAGGATGATTTTCCTGATCGCAGGAGTTTAAAATAGAATCGAACAAACAGCAGTGGAGTAAAAAACGGAGGCAACCACGTGACTCATGAAAACAAATATTACCTCATATTGTTACATATGACCTAAAAAAGTAAGTTAATGTTTATTTTTAGAGAAAGTTGTTTTTCTATTATGATCTTTAAATTATTATATTTTGCTGTTAAAACTTAGTTTTGAAAATAAATCTAACACCGTTGTTTACATTGTTATTTTACATATTTTTAAACTACATAACCGAATAGTAACAAACCTTAAACAGTATAGTTTGTGTGAGTGTTTTTATGTGAAATTTTTTCTTTCTGTATAGTTAAAAGCATTGCTTAAAACAAAATATAATTCTCAATTTGTTTTACTCAAATGTTACTAACTAAATGGAAGTTGAATATATTTTTGTTATCTTATATACGCATATATTTTTTACATAAAGTTGTTCAATGTAAGGAAGTATAAAATGTAAGATGTTCTAAATTATGATTAGTCTGCTATTTCAATTTTTCTTCATTTATTTAAAAAAAATTAGTATTCTATTTTTGGAATATCTCTAAATCCTTATACTTAAATGTGAGATTTTCTGTTTTTGGTTAATAGCCATGGAGAAAATGAATTCAAAATTATTAAGCATATTATAACTAAAGTTTAGACCGCTATTATTATGTCTGTCGTATTATTTATGGAACTAAAAAATTATAGCATAGCAAAAATTAAAACATAAAAATATAGCAAGTATCAAAGAAAGACATTAAATTAATTTAAAATTTTAATATTTTTTAAAATAACTTATTGTAGATTTTCACAGTATTGCTAATACGTTTTTCTTACAGCAGACTTGTCATCCTAAATTATTTCTATTATGAGTTAATGTTCCAATTTTTTTAAAGAAGAATTTACAACTTTTTTTAATTAAATTTTTAGACAGATTATGAACTAAAATCATTGTTTAATATTTGAAGTTACGTTTATTTTTGTTAAAGGTGTGCTTAGAATAAATCTTGTGAAGTACTCCCTTTTAGGTTTTTAATTTAAACGAACGAAATTTGAATTGATTTACTAAAATAGTAATAGTACGGCTTGTACATAACTCTTAAAGTTTAATTTTTGTGTTGTTTAAAACTTGGATGTTGCATATTTAGATATTTTCGTATAAATAGAAGAAAAAAATTTAAAACAGTAAATTAGCAGAGATGGCAATTGTGAAATTAGCTATCGACTTTCTTACAAATAACCTAGGTTCGAATCCCCCCCCCACAGCTGATGTTCTCTATCTGCTTTCTTCACAAAAGTAACATAAAATACATAACTCTCCTTGTAGACTGATAATAGGCTAGAGTCAATTTCCAATGTATTGTATTTGCTTCAGATTTTTTTATTGTATAAAAAGCAAAAATTTGTTTTCGTATTTCAAATGCGGATTAGCAACGAAAGATAATTGACACAAATGCTCCAATGATTTCTAAATTGAATTCAAAATTATAACTCAAAATTCAAAGCCAAAATAAACATTCATGGTATCATTGGCCATTTTTTTTAATTCTATGATTTTTATTTTATAAGGGTACTACTTTAAACACCATGGGCTACTTACGAAAACACTAAGAGCAGTATGTATTTCCATTGAGTCATGGTGGCTCAGGGAATCGAGCGCTCGCCTCCCAATGAGGTGAGCCGAGTAAGAATCCCAGCGACGGCTGTTCCAGATGAATTACACTCCCGGCTCGCACCGACCACAGTGTTGACGTAAACTATCCCATGGCTTTCCTCTCCATGTAACGCAAATGAGGGTTAGTTCCATCAAAAAGTCCTTCCCGAAGGCAAATTTCTCCCTGTACTGGCCCAAGAGTTCCCTAGTCTTCTTGATTGGGTTCAAAATTACAAGGTAATTAATTAGAGCATTAGTAGTTGTAAACTCAAAAATTGGGACAGTTATAAAACAAAATATATTGACATCAAATTCCCATGTTTAATTTCTGATTTACCTTATTCATATAATAGGATGCTGTAACCCTCTAAGCCAAATAAAGAGCACTTCGAGTTAGATCAATTGACAGGAATTATCAGTAAAAAAAAAAACGTTTTTTATGCACATAATATCATCTGCAATATCCGAGAGATTTATCTTAAAAGTGTAAGGTTTTATTACTTTTAGGAAGTTGTCTTCCAATATCTAAGCGAAATTGCTATCCAAATTACTTCCGACTTCAACCACTCGATTACGGCAAGTTGGCTTTTAAACTATTTATTCTAAGTAAATAGGGAAATTTCGCACTTTTACGTTAGCTTCCCTACGCCCCCATACGTGAGATTTGAAGAAACTGCGCACGTGCTTGCTTTTATTTTAGATGCTTCCTATGTTTACGTTACGTTGGCGTGATTACAAAGAGAAGGCTATAACTACAACTCTTGTTTATAGCTGTTAAATGTTGTTTTCTGTTTAAGTCTACCTTCCAACTAAAAACATGGAATACGAATTTAAAGCAATATACTTATGAAATTCAGAATTAAATCGCGTGATATTACAATTAATTGGTTTAATAAAAAAAAATATTGGTTTTTGTTTAACATTATGGTTGTCTAATTGCCCTAGTTCCATAATAAAGTAGATGCATTTTCGTAATTTTAAAATTATAAATTATTAATATTTTATTATTATTAATATTGTTAATATTTTATAATTATTAATATTATTAATATTTTATAATTATTAATATTATTAATATTTTATTATTTTTAATATTATTAATATTTTTTTAATTAATATTATTAATATTTTATTATTATTAATATTATTAATATTGCATTATTATTAATATTATTTTATTATTATTAATATTATTAATATTGCATTATTATTAATATTATTAATATTGTATTATTATTAATATTATTAATATTTTATTATTATTATTAATATTTTAAAATTATTAACATCTTTTTAATTAGAAAATGTAGTTAGAAGATGTTTGATGTCAATAATATTCAATTCGCTAATTTACGAAATCTCCCTAATAATAACGGTACTTACGTATTAAACAGCCGACCATTTTCGCCAATATCGTGTCAGAGTTAGTTTGGTATCTTTCAAATTTATTTTAATGCATTAAATGATTATAAAAATTAATAGACAAAATACAAAAGTAACTCAATGCAAAAATTAGATGCTGAAAATGAGATATTTAAATTTGAACCATTTCCAGATTTGTTTTCAGAGATGGTGAAAATGGTCGACGGAATAATGCTTAAGTACCATAATAACCTTTTCTCCTGAGTGAAGGTTAACACGTGGCATGCGTGTCACAAATGGTAATTATGGTAGTAAATGGTAATAATTCTTTTTTTTAGAAAAAATAACATTGAAAATTAATTTTCTGTTATCATTATTAAAATTGGATTTTATTATAGTAAATCTATTTCCGTATTTATTTCATCTTATGATAATAGCTCTAAACTTAATTTGAACGGAACTGTTTTTTTATTTATGTTTTCTACATCCGCTCTATTTGATGAGAATTTGGACCACGATAGGTGAAATAGAAATGAAACATCAAACTGCTAGGAGACTTTTAATTCGTGTTTTTCCACAGCAAATCAATAAACTGTAGAAGTTTCTATTTTTAGAAGCAATACAAGATTCAAAACCTGATATCTTTGATGTTTTATTAAGCATATTTATTGATTGAAGTTGAATTCTAACCATTGATAGATAGAATTCGTATTTATTAAAGAAATTCAATCAATTAAAATTATTTTTATACTGTATATAGTTTCTTTCTCTAAATATTTTAATTTTTAAACTTTTGCTTATTTATATATTTTTGAGTATTAATTTAGAGGTTATTTTTTTCTCTGTAACATTTATCTATACGTATAACAAAATAAAGAATTCGTGTCCGTCTGCATACCAAAATTCCGTTATAAAGTAAGCTAAAAAAATACGACATTCTACGTAAAGCTAAAAGAATAAAATTGTAAACAAATACCGATTTTTGATTTTTTAATTATATTTTCAATGCAGAGATATTTAAAAAATGGAATTTTCTCATTGGCTTAGAGGAAGTCACTGTTTTATAATATGCCAAAGATTCAGTTTTATCAAATATTTTAAAGAAAGCATAAGTGATGTTTCCTAGCTTATAGCTTTAATTGAAAAATTTGTTTATTGCATGTCCTGTAATATTTAAATATTTTTTGTTCGTTATCACAGTTTATCTGAATGATCAGCTTGATCGTTGTATCATAGGTGGACTACGTGACCAAATTAGTATTTCTAAAGTTATCTGAATCCACGTGTTAGTTTTGTTTCGAGTTATGCTTTTAAAAAGTATTGTTATGGAACTAAATCATTTAAAACCAATTTTTATGGTAAACATGAAATGTAATGTAAGTTTTTACTTAGACTACCAGTTTTTTTCTCTTTGCAGCGTTTAGCGTTAAGAAACAACGGGCTTAATCCATTTATACGTTTGAGAATAGAGAGCAATTCTGAATTCAGTACTCAAAATTAATAATGCAAGTAAGTGAAAAACTCCCTTACGAGAGTTCACATATTTCCCCCTTTTATTTCGTAAAATGCATTTTTGTTGATAATATTGACAGCAGTTCTTAATATTCAATATTATGGAATGTTCATCTTATGAAAGATAAATGTTTTTTACAGCGATATCGTAAAATTCAAATCATGACTTAATGAAATTTTTTTATTACTTCAAACAAAGCCAGACAGCTAAATATTTTTATCATTCATAATCAAATGACTGGAATAGCCTGTTTGGTAGGACGCTGGGCCCATGTCCAAGAGGTCGTGAGTTTGACCAAATAAATAGTGACTGGGGCTAGTTAAATCATTCGGGTCACAAAGTTTTCCATGTTCTCATAACAAATCATACCTCTGGGAGTACTGAATTGGAGATTTATCGTTCTCTGTCTCAGGTTAAAATTATGGGCTGTGGATGAATGAATGGGTAAATAAATGGGTCCACCCAAAAAACTGGATGTGACGTGTGTGACTGAAACTGTATTCTTGGTCATAGATGGCGCCACTGAAAACAAGAAACACACCCTCTGCCTTCAATTTATTTGTTTTCACCAAGCAGACTTGCTAGTATTGGCAAGTGGCATTAGAAACAACAACAGCATCAATCTTTATACCATTTATTATTCTACAATCATTATGATTCATTATTTTTCAGAAGCATTTATTATTCCACGACCATTATCATTTATCATTCAGTTGTATTATACGTCATTACATACATTCATTATCATGTATTCTAAATTTATTATTATACATTCTTTATTCATCAACTACTTGCAACATTTATTATTTTATATTCATTTTCATCCGTATCCGATTCGTATCATTCTTAATTCTGCATTTATCAGTCATCATCTCTAATTGTTTAATTCATTATCTTTAATTAATTACTATTCATATTTGACTTGATCATTCCTTAACTTGAATTCGCGTTGACACTTTCCGTCGTAACCCAACGTTTTTAACCCTAAATATTTATTTAACGAAACTGTCACGTCGGACGCACAGAACTACTTTGATACAATTTAAAATATCTCAATTTTGGATCTTGTACAAAAAATGATTCACATAATTTTCTTCTTACTCATTGTAATCCAGATCAATTCAATTCATTTCCGACCAACTAAAATTCTATTTATATTATTTATTGCCACTGGAAAAAGAAAAAGTCGAAAGTTAAATGCTTAAAATTTTTATTTCATTTAAAGTGTAAGAAAAGTTCAAGCGAGTTGAACCATCCTACTATCAATCAAACTTTACATCAACTATAATATAAAGGTAATTTGTACAATATAATTATTCTTTTTAACTTAATTATTAGATACAGGGCCGTGGTGGCTCATGGATAGAGCGTTCGCCTTAAAATGAGATGAACGGGGTTCGAATCCCAATGTTGGCTGGTAGATACGAATTCCGCACCTGAATGAACATCGACCACAATGCTGACGTAAATTATAATCAGTGATAGACGGATTATAGGTTAGAGTCTCCGACGTCAGGCTAACTGTGGGAAGTTTTCGGGGTTTTCCTTTCCATGTAACGTAAATGCAGGTTTGTTCCATCAAAAAGTCCTCCTCAAAGGCAAATTTTTCCCAATACTTGATAAAGAAGTTCAATTATTTTCGAGATTAGATTTAACATTTTTCTACGACACGGAGTTGAACATCAGTAGTCATAAACCCAAAACTGAGCCGGCTGTTCAACGACGGTTATATTATGAAATAAAATTCTTTAATACAATAGAACTTTAAGGGAAACATTGTTCAAACTTAACACCTTAAAAAGGTTACAGCCGATTAGTTCCATTATATGGTTAATTGTGGCAATATTACGTTAATTAAATGCTGAATTGATTTTTGCGAAAGTGTGTTCATGAAATTTTGATAGTTCTAATTTTTTGTTTCAGGATCTACCATGACAGCAGACGTTGAAAACTCCACATTATTGGAAAATAAAACTAAACTTGACATATTAGATTTAGTTGGAAACAATGGGCCGTGGCAACGCCTGATATTTATAGTGAGCTTAATTTGTGCCATTCCCATTGCTTCACAAAATTTAGTTATCACTTTCTTTGCTCCAAATCTGGATCATTGGTGCGCTAGACCAACTGGTGTAAATATCTCCGCTGAAGAATGGAAACTTCGAGCTCTACCTGCACATGACCAAAAATGTTCCAAGTAACTATAAACTTTGTTCTAAACTTAAACACATAAGAAATTGTCAATATTCAAATAAGAATGATATCATCAAATAAACCACTGACTTTTAAACTACTTAATTTAAGAAATTCTTGAAACACATTTTGAGATAAACTTAAGATAAAATTAACGTAATATGGCTGGTGTTTTAAATGTAAACAACAACAATCTCGATCTCTTGACCTGCTCTACATCCGGTTGCGAAGTATACAGCTGCTTAGTACAACTTATTCGGCGTGGTGATATTTTCAATCAGATAAGTTTGTTTTCAATACAAGGAATAAATTATTTAATTTCTGAAAGCAAAATTGCTGTATTTCATAAGATATTAATGATATTAAGTAATTGTGGTGAGTTTGAAGTCAAAATTTGTTTTAGTTACTTATAGATGAGATTGAAATAGGTGACATGCTTGCTAGGTTTAGTAAGAACTCTCTTTTTTTGCAGTCCCGATTTGGCCTCTTTTTATTTGTTTATCACTGTTTGTTCTTATTGCAAGCTGTGCACCATCATACGTTAGTGTTAGCATATTGTTCGAGGAGCGAGATTAAGTTTATTTTACAAATTATCATTTAAGTTTAAATTTCGAAGTTGGTATATTATTGACAAGGTAAGAAGTGTTTTATAACGATTCGTTTTTTCTAATGATGATTCTTACGTTTAGAAAGAACAGGTCTTCAAATGACTGTACTTATATTATTATGTACTGTAAAAATAGAGTTCAAGTGTACTTATAACGATACTTTTTTTAAACACAAATAAATCAGGTAACAAATACACGTATACAAAGAATACTATTCAAAGGAGTCTCAAAACCAAATGATCACGATATGAGCCAAACAGCTTCAAAATGCACAGCTAAAAGTAATGCGGAAGTGTAGGCAATCAAGAGCTTACAGTGCACGCTAATGTGGAAAATATCATCCAAATGGAAAATATAATAACTCGATTCTTACATCCAATAATTCTATTTCGTACTGTTTCATCCAGAACCATAGAAAAGTTTGTTTTAAATTTTTGTGAATTATTTTATTCTGAAGTCCTATGTGTAGTACTAAAATCGGCTCTGCTCGGAAAAACATCTTTTGTGATTACAGTTTTCGCTTTGCCCTATGCTTTTTCAGAAATACAGACCCAGGTTTTAACTTTTGTCCTACTTCTCTTTCTTAACCAAATTCAGTTAACTTCCAAAGTATAGTTTTTTCATATAATTATATTTAAAGGTTTTTGCGGATTAAATTTCGAATGATTTCTATAAGTTTAACTTGAGATTGTCTTATTAGATCGATGTTTTTAGTTTCTCTGTAAAATTTCATTTGCAAAACTATTCGTAAGCTTTTTTTTAGGTTAGCTAAAAAGAAAGTTAAATATTTTTTTAAAATTTAAAATAGTGTTAAGTTTAAGCGATATGCGCTAGTTTTAGGAGTTAAGAGAGTCAATTCTACTTTTATCTCCCCACTGACGAAATATCTTATTTAGTGCTTGTGTTATGTAGCGGAACGATTCATTATTAAAAAACTTTTTTGTGAAAATTTCCTGTAAAAGTCAGGTGGTAAATTTTTGTCTGGTGAATAAATAACCGGTCTTTTTACTGTTGTTAAAAGTCAGCGTATTTTTTATTATAGTGTTCTTGATAAAAGCATGTATATGGAACTTTATTGTTCTCTATTTCATTATTACAAAAAAAAAAAAAAAAAAAAAAAAAAAAAAAAAAAAAAAAAAAAAAAAAAAAANAAAAAAAAAAAAAAAAAAAAACAGAAATTCTAATAGAATATTTAAAAAAAATTAGGATTAAATCCGTAGGACCATTTCAAATATAAAATTCAATTTGGTATTTGTCGTGAAATATTTTTTAGCATATTAAAAAAATGTTTTCTAATTTTGTTCTTTTCTTACTTTTCTTGACTATTTCAGAATTTAAACTATAGCACACTGTTTCTAAGTAGTGTTTTGTAGGTTAGTGAGCCTATATAAAGGACATTTTTGCTCCTTAACACTAAACAGCATGGGCAAATTATAATCACAACTGTCAACACTTACTAATTGTTCGCAGTATTTCATTTTTAGATTTTAAGTGATAATGAATTTTAAAAATTTCTTCTTAAATCCTATATTTATGAATATAATTCAACAAGATTTTTACCACCATTAAATGAAAATAAATCAATCTTATATATAAAAGCAAGCGGTACTCGTTTTATTGAAAGTTGAGCAGGTAGTTTCACTACTTCTCTCCATGCTCCCGGCCCAAAAGACTAAGAAGTGGAGTCTCACATGATGTTTTTTTTTCCTCTTTTTTTTACACTTTCTTTTCAGGTTCATCTGAACCAACAGTACATGTCCCCTTTTAGGGTTAATACAAGATGGATGGAAAATGGGCCAACTAGGCCACAGATGCCCAGCTCTTATGGAACAAATCGTGTTATCAACATGTTTTTTCCGATGAATTTCGCAATAATCAATACAATGATGGACGGGAAGGCGTAAGGCAATACGGGAGGGGGGTGCTCTCACAGTGTATTATCCAGCGTCATGGTGTGGGGAGCTATTGGGCATAATTGTCTCTCTCATCTAGAGCAAATTGAAGTCAACTTCAATAGTGATCGCTCATCGCCCATTTGCTCAGTTAGAACGTCACACTTATAAAATAGTGATTTCTGAGCCGCGGTGGCTCAGGAGATAGTGTTGACCCCCCAATGTGGTAATCAGGTTTGAATACGAGCGGTGGCTGTTTAGCACGAATTCTGCTCCTGGCTCGTACTGACCACGTTGCTGACGTAAAATATCCTCAGCGGTAAATGGATCATGGGTTAGAATCCTCCTGCCATCAGGCTAACCATGAGATACTTTCGTGGTTTTCCTCTCCGTGTAACGCAAATGCGGAGAGGGTAGTACCATCAAAGAGATCTCCACAAAGGCTAGTGTGTAGCAACGCTCAGAGATGCCAACTGCTCCGGACACGCCAAAATAATTTAAAAAAACGGTAAATTACAACGAAGTAAATTTTGAAAATACTGGACTAATTTTGCTTGCTTTTTAAAAGTTGTAACATGACCTAAGTACTATGAAGTGGTGAATTATATAAGCCTATGAATTATTTGGGAATTGAGGTGGATAAAAATCTACTTAGTTGAATTTATTAAACCAAGAATCACAATTGGTAAGCTACCACCTTAAAATATATATTTGCTGTCCGGAGCAAGTTGGCATCTCTGAATGCTTGATCCAGGACTTCCATTGTCTTCGAGTTCCAAATTGCAGAGATACGTGGTTGAACATTGATAGTCGTAAACACCGGCTATGAAATAAAATATAAAATAGTGATCGCTTTATAAGGAAATTCTGGAGTCAGAGATCATTTCCATTCTTCGATGCATTGTGAGTGCAGAGATGCCAACTTGCTCCGGACAGCGAATAAATATTTTAAGGTGGTAGCTTATTAATTGTAATTCTTGGTTAAATAAATTCAATTTATTAAATTTTTATCTACCACTATTTCTAATTTATTCGTAGGTTTATATAATTCTCTACTTTTATAATTAAGTCACTCTAAACTTTTTAAAAAGCAGGTAAAATTAGTCAAGTAATTGCAAAAATTCGTTTGTAATTATTAACCGTTTTTTAAATTATTTTGGCGTGTCCGGAGCAGTTGGCATCTCTGTGAGTGCTGTACTTCAGCAGGATTACGCTCGTACACATATTAGTAAGACTGCAAAGTGTTTTTCAACGCACAACTGACTTCGCTTCTTTCATTGCCTACTTATTCTTCGGATATTTTGCCCATTGAGCATGTCCGGGACTTTATTAGTGGGCGACTCGCTCGTGCAACTGGTGAGGCATGTAGTAAAACCGAACTTGGACGTCAAGTTGAATAAAGATGGAATGTCATTCCCCAGAATTACTATCAATAATTCATGATATCATGATTCAATGCCACGATGTTTACAGGATCTCATTGTGGCAGACACACAAAATACAGATTTCCGAATTTCTTTTTGTTTTGTAAATTTGATCATTTATTTATACCACTATCAGTATTACGTGGAATAAATTTCATTAATTTCTGACAATTCCCTCACGCTGTAGTGATTTTCAGACACATTAGTGCAATTTAGATTTGATAAAAATTAATACTTACATAATTTATTTCAGGTTCAAGTATTTTAACATAACCGATGTGTATCCTGTAAATATTAATTACACTGACTCTGATATTGTTCCTTGTGATTCGTGGGAGTATGATAACTCTATCTATGTTTCGACAGTCCTAAGCAAAGTAAGTATAGTAATTTTCTGCTACTAAAGTTAGTATATTTTACTAACAAAGTAACAGAAAAATAAATAATTGATTAAATGTTACATTTTCTGCACATGTGTATACTATGACTAATCTAAAACACACAATTCTGCGCTCGTTCAAAAATTCGATAGTTTTGTGGAAACATAAAGGATCACGACGTAAAGGAAAATGTATCCTAACTTTAAACAACCACAATGAAGCCGAAAATGAATCCTAGCAGCAATGTAACTTGAGCACCAATATTCACGAATCTTAGCTCAATAATGGTTCAAAGAGCCGTTATTTTTCCGATATTGGCCCTATATAGAATTGTCCAATTCATCCGATATTTTACAGCCACTTTACAACCGATATCTGCCCTATTGTCGGATTCATCCGATATTTAATATTCATTATTCAGCCAATATAGGCCCTGTATTTGTCCCCATATAAGCTGATATTGGTCTTATATGGTACAAATATTTTAAAATCTAAACATCCAAATATTGGTCCATCGGTGCATAATCATGTAGGACCCATATTGAGCTAATTTTCAGCCCATCTGGGGCCAATTTAATTGTTGCTAGGAAAGTTCATTTTTTAGCCTTTTTTTAAACAAAAATTTCGTTTTTGTAATAATAAATAGATTTTGAATATTTTTTTAGTTTTTGTTTTTATTATTAAAAATGGGAAATGAAACTTAGCCGCCACAAGTGGATTGCAAAAATCTTATGCAGATGAAAAATATTTAAATTCTTTTTAATTAGCTATTGCAATTTTTATAATTTTGTTTATCATGGACAAATAACTGAAAAATTACCAATTTATGGCTATTTGCCCAGTTTTTGTTGTTTGAAATCCTATGTGCAATATTTTTTGGCTGCAGTTTTACACAGTCAAGTAAAAACCATTTCTTTTCAAAATTTTGATTCTGGTTGAATCACTTATCCGTTCCTTTAACCACGTATCGCCCATGGGCTGCAATAGCGGCACAACTCAAAAAATCCTGTTTTGAGATAAGTGGGTTTAAAGCTTTCATTGCTAAGGAAAATGCTTTAGTTTGCTTAAACAAAGATTACCTTCAAGTTGAATTATGAGTTGTGCAAGTATTGCTACTGAAAAGAATGTGTACTTTCGTATTCATACATGTTCTTAGCCCAAAACGCGTGTTTTTTGAGTTGTGCCAGTATTGCAACACATGAGCGATATTATCTTACGAGTTTGCTTCAATCTTAATAAGGTGTCAAGTAGAACTATTGTATCTTGTAAATTAAACTTTGTGGAAATATAGTACAAATGTATAATATCGTACAAATTAAATTTGAAAACATGATACTATAGTTCAACTTGAATGGAAATATGGATAAATTTAGCACCAATTTAATTTAGCAGTAAATTTAAAAGACAATATAGTTCCAGGTACTGACGTTATGGTGCTATGCCAACTCTACTCCCTCTCCCTTAAAAAACAGCCACTAATGGTGGCTGAATATATCATCCAAAAAATTTTTGTCCATAAAAATTTTTGACGGTCGTACACTATTAATAAAAAAAAATGAACTCGTTATCTGTTAGAAAAATAGAGTTCAAGTGAAAATTAAAAAACAGAAAAGTGTTATTTTTGCTCCATTAAAGGTGTTAGTGAAGCAGAAAAAAAAGCAAGCTTTTATTCTTTTTTTATGTTTTGTTTGCAACTCACCCTAATATATACATTTTCTTATAGTGGGATTTAGTTTGTGAACAAGAATGGTTAGTTTCCTTGTCAAAATCAGTATTTGTAGCGGGCTATTTGTTTTCCGCAACTGTGATTGGACATTTCGCAGATAAGTAAGTAATTTTATTTATTGTTTTTACGCATATTAAAATCCTATTATTTTCAATGTTCTTGCCTTAATGCTGGAACGCAGAGTTTAATTTATTATTTTGTTCAATATCTACTTAGTGCAATAACTTCTTTTCTGTAAGGTACTACAAAACGATGTCGATATTGCTATGCGCATTTCTACATTTTTTAAAACTTTTAGAAACGTTTTATTATATTCGAGTGGGTCTACCATTTTAAATATTGCTGAAGCTAAAATATTAATTTTGGGTACCTTTGCTCATACCAATAGAAAATAAATCAAAAAATAAGTATTGAAATATAATCTATTTGGAAATATATGTAAAGTAAATCAAATTTAATTATTACATTTGACTCATCTCAACATAAGAGACAAAATGAAGCATAAGTCAATATTAACTTGATAATTTATTCAACCTGTTGTTTTAAAATGAAGTGAATCGTTTTATAATCCCTTTTAACAGGTATGGCGCAAGGTCTATCGATTTCTCCTTGGTATATTGCGTAAATAAATTTAAATATTTCTGTATTTTTCCTTCTTAAACTAATGACTTTTAAAGTAATCCAGTCACTCTTTTAAACGATATGACTTTCATTTTTCTCACCAAATATCGACTGTGTAAAGTCTGTTATTGATTTATACAAAAAAAACAGTCTCAAATGAAAAACAGAAACGAGGTTAACAACACGTGTTGTATAAGTACACTAAAATATTTTCAAGATTTCGTTTCGTCTTAGTTCATTAAATGTTTTAAAAGAAAATAGTAAATTTATGTATCGCATAAAGCATAAAAACGATAGATATTAAGTTATATATCATTCTACATCATAGTGTTTTTAAAGAAACTAAAAAAAATTTCTGTCGAAAGACAGTTTATGTTTATAGTTTTTTTTTCTTTTTTTTTTTTANTTTTTTTTTTTTTTTTTTTTTTTTTTTTTTAATGTGATTTATATTTAATCCCCATTTTAAATCATACTCGAAAATTTCTCCTCGCGAAAAATGTGTATTTACGATGTACCTAGCAAATTGTTTAATTTATGACTTAGAAAATAGTTTGATACCGTTTAATATGTTTGCAATATAATTTGTAGTACTTAATTAAAGAGTATAACCCCATGCGTGCTGGGTTTACCAATTCTCGTAACTGTTTTCGCTATTGGATACCTTGAAGTGATGTCATCCTAGGTAAATCATGGTATTTGTCGATTCAGAAGCCAATCAGGTTTGACACACATGCGTGACCTATGATGTCAGCGACAGCTAATCTTTATCAGCAAAATGGCATATTAAAGTTGAGCTCAAGTTTCTTTACATAACTTATCGTTAATTAACATTCTAATTTAACTAAATACCGAGTCGTATCAGACATCGAATTAGTTGAAATATAATTCTTTCTCGTCTACTTCTTTTACTTAACTTAGATTTATTATTTGTTTCTGTATTTTTTGTAACCGTGATATTGTTTTAAGTACCTAGCAACTTCGATGCATAATTAGTTTGTTTTTGTTCCACATGGCTTTGTGTCTGTCTTTGTGTTAAGAGTCGGTGTAAAGATGCAGGGAAAGAATTGAAATCTTTGAGAAAGAATCTGTGGGTGATATTGTAACCGTGACCGTTAATTGAAGACCGTGGTATTGTTTTAAGTACCTGGCAACTTCGATGCATAATTAGTTTGTTTTTGTTCCACATGGCTTAGTGTCTGTCTTTGTGTTAAGAGTCGGTGTAAAGATGCAGGGAAAGAATTGAAATCTTTGAGAACGAATCTTTGGGAAAAAATTTAGAAAACGTGTCACTTAAAAGAATTGATACTTGACGGGCTTGGTTTACTCGAAATACAACGGAAAGAGCAGTTTATAAAGTAAGCAAATGCCACGTTTAAACAACCAATCAGGATCGAGATAACGACGCTATGTCACTTGCAACTATCCCATTAATTCTGATTTAAAACACGTGTTTAGGCATAGCACTTCACTTCTTCTCGAGTTGCAAGAACTTTACCCCTTTCAGATTACTCCTCGCTTCAAGCTCAATTCGCTCACTCCTTAGAAGCTTATATCTTTGCATGCTTGTTGATGCTTTTATTTAAAATGAAGTTCTAAAAATATGCTACATTTATTACCTTAGAAACTTTTGGATTAACGAACAATTAATTCAATTCGTATATATTAGGGTTTTATGTATAGAAAATTATCAATTTCGGTGTTTGTTAACACGTCATTTTCTTTGTTCATAAGTAACTTTCTTTACTTGTAACATCTTTATTCTAAAATGAACTCCTTAGATAATCAAAAACCAAAGGTAAATGTTTACATAAAAGGAAATGCATAGTTTGGTTGATAAAATGCATCCTCTCTCCAGCATTAATATTGAAACAACGTTAAAGAATATAGCTAACAACATTAAAGAATACGCTAGAATATAGCTCTAAATTAATATTTAGTCTGTGTTACTTAACAACAATAATATAATTAAAACAAAATTATGGAACAGTTGGTTTATAGGAAAAGTTCGCTTTTAACCATTCATTTCTGTCCAACTTATAGTTCAGTTTGTTTTAGTTTCTCTTTGTCAACTCGATAAAAATATTCTTTTTCATTTGAAATTTCAGTTCTTTGTGGCTAACGTAAAAATAAAAAAAAATCATACGCCTTTTAACAATGCATGCATTAGTGTTTTATATAATGAGATAATATATTGAGCGATATTTCCTTTAAGTGTCGCTGCTATAAGAATTACATTTAATGACATTACCTTCATGTTGATAGAAGTAACACATGTTTCTCTTGTTAATTTTCCCATGGATTATTAATATTCTGACAAGGAAGGATGCGTCTGAAGAAAGAAGAATATTGTTATTTCTTATGTACTATTTCAAATTGTTTTTGCATACCTTTGTCATCAAAATTAATGCAGTTTCGAATTCAACTGTCATTGGTACAAAATATAAACGTTCTTCTGCTTAATCTAAATTGCACTTCGTGAAAATACAATAATATATCTTAAAAGAAATAAAATCGATTTTTCTATAACAAGAAATAAGTTTGCTAAAAGTTTCGCACAGCAACCCTTTTTTTACGCACTATTATTCTAGTCTGTAAAATAATTTTCGCCAAAAATAAACTAGTAACTCGTCGAGTACACTTTCTTTTAGTAGTATTTATTTACATAAACATTACTTTGACATATCTACATCCTCATTGAATGTAATAAGTCTGAAAAAATAAGACAGATTAAAAATTACTAAAACATTTTTCAATTAGCATGCCACACGTAAAGATGCCGTTGCCATTCGCAAAGAGTCAGGTTTTTCAATGCTCTTTGAAATTTCATTGGTTATGGCTATATAAATTCCATCTACAGTAAAAGTTTCATAAAATAACTTAGTAACCACTTGAAGTGGTTCACTTCTAATTTTTATCCTTTCGTTACGAGCGCTGTATTTAGCCGTTATCCACGCGATGACCTGTGTGTACGAACGCTGTATTTAGCCGGCATCGGCGAGACAACCTGTGTGCATGAGTGACGTATAGCATGCATCCTCTTGATAAACCATATGAACGAGCACCGTATTTAGCCGGCGACCACTCGACGTCCTGTGTGTACGAATGACGTATTTAAACTGCATCCACGTGATAAACTGTATGTACGAGCACCGTATTTAGCCTGCATCGACGCAATGACTTGTGTGTATGCGCGTCGTGTTTAGCTGGCATCCATGCGACGACCAATGTGTACGAACGCTGTCTTTAGCCGAGATCCACGGGATGACCTGCGTGTACGAGCGATGTATTTAGCCTACATCCACCTGATAAACTGTATGTACTAGCTCTGTATTTAGTCAGCATCCATGTTATGAACTGTATGTACGAGCACCGTATTTAGCCTGCATCGACGCACTGACTGACTTGTGTGTACGAGCGTCGTATTTAGCTGGCATCCATGCGACAACCAATGTGTACGGCTGTCTTTAGCCGACATCCACAGGGTGATCTGCGTGTACGAGCGATGTATTTAGCCTACATCAACCTGATAAACTGCATGTACGAGAGCAGTGCTCAGCCCGTGTCAGCGGGATATTGTTTGATAATTATGATTACATCTAAAAGCGCATTTTGAATGCACTAAATATGTTTTACAAGTCGAAGGCCTTTTTATTTGTTATACTTGTAAACTCTCCAAATATATTGTTACGTAACACTTAAATGAGATGAGCAATTTAAAAACATTAGCTTACCGACAAATGTGCACACTTCACGGTGTGGTACACCGTTCAGTGACGTCACTTCAGTGTACCTGACTGTTATAACGAAAGGGTTAAACAAAAACATAGGCACAGCATTTTTAGGACAAGCCCATAGCTTCTTGTAAATGGTACGGTTGTTTTACCAATTTCACCACTCTTCACACGTTTTATCTTTCCATTATTATAGCAAATCTTGCTTAGTAATGGAAATGCCGATGACAGTTTATTCCAACTTCTTACGGAAACGTAGTACCGTAGGGAAAAAACAAGATTGGACGAAACCATGGTAAACGGAAGTGGGAAAGTGTGGAGAATGGGAGTCTCGAGACACCTATTCTATTTACTAAGAAGTAAATATAATAGAACTTCTGTAGAAGTTAGAATAATACTCACAAAATTAACTTTTTTTCTTGTTGACAGGTATGGCAGAAAGCCTATAATTGTGAGTTGCAACATTATTGCTCTCTTCTCATCTGTCATATGTGCCTTTTCCACATCATTTCTCATGTTTTCTGTTCTAAGATTTCTTATTGCTGTTGGTGTTTCGGGTGTTTTTAACGCTGCTTTCGTTTTATGTGAGTATTGAGTATTTTCCACTTTATTATAAATTTAATTATCTCTGAATTTCAATATCTCCTCTAATTACGTAAATACAATAATGTATTATGCACAATACGAAGAGTCAGATTTAAAAATATGCATACATAAACACTTATAACAAAAAAAAAATTGCTAAATAACGTCTTTTTTTTCCAATTTTGCACAAACTTTAAAATAAATAGAGATGTGTCATACCTGGTGTCCCAAAAATAATGAAAAATTGAAAAATCATTTGAAGAAAAATAGAAGAAGATGGAAATATATGTTTTGCTGTGTTTTGCTTCAGAAACTAGTTTATTCTATAAATTTTAAAGTTACTGAGTTCGTCAACGGTAACTACAAAAAAAATAACGAATGAATGAATAAATGAAATACTATTTTCTGTAATATGTCAGACAATTTCAACTGATATATTTATTCGAGCATCTGTTCATTTTAGTCCTTGGACTTATACAACGTTGCTAATTCAAACGGTTGTTGTTTTGAAAACATTGTTTAATATTTAATTTCAGTTCACGGTGTTATCTGTAGACGAGCTTAGTTATTAATTTTGAAACATGGTCAGAATATATTTCCAGTTTTATCAGTAAATCGCAAAAAGCCTTAAATTTTTATATCTATCCAATTTTAAGTTGATTTTTTTCAAAGTTTGTCAATGGTTAACAGTAAATACAAAAAAAAAGAAGAGAAAAAAGAAATGATAACATGTTTTCAGTAATTTTTTTGACAACTGTTATGTTTTGACAACTGTTAAAACATGCACGTATGGGAGAAAAAATTCGAACTTATATGTCTTAAATATTTGATTGTAATGTGGTAACAACATCAAAAAGATACCGTTATTTGTTAAGGTGTATTGTGTTTCTAGTTATTTTTGAAGGCATTTTTAGCGCCTCTTCGAAAATTTACATCACTCAGTCTGATATTATTTTTAAAAATATATTTTTGATGATACTATTTATACGTATATATTTATTATTTTTTATAATTTTTGATATTATTTTTACAATTGTTAAGAAAGATGGTAGATTATGTTTTAAATTCATATATTAATATTCAATCTGGTTTGTTGTTGACATTTGTTTAATTTAACTACGCTACACTGCTTGATAGGTTTTTATTAATTCGATTTTATAATGACGGAGGAGATTGAATTTTGAAAAAATAATTTCGAACAATCCGAACTGTATCAGTCAGTACCTACTGACTGCTACAAGCAGAACTGTTGTTATTATTTTTATATTTATTATTATTTATCACATTTTATCACAGAATCGAATTTAGACCAAAACAAAATTCCGACCACCTTCTGGTTTACTTATTTTTCAAATTACGTGACTAGTGACTATTCAATTTCTTCCTGATTCCCAAAGTTTTTTTTTAGTCAATCTGAATTCCAACTAGCTAGAGATTCGAACTGAAGCTCTTTATAGGATGAAAACATTAGTTTCCTGATAAATAGAATTTATATCGCCATTTTACAACCTAATATAAGTTATCGTCAATTAAAATTTCGACCACCTTCCGACTAACTAGAGTGGCCACTGGAGATCTGCTCTGTGCTTGATGCTAATAAAAGTTACAATTGTTTCCTAAGCCCACAATCGAAATTTTGACTACTTTTCGACACAAGCAAGCGATTACATAACTAAATAAAATTTTGGGAAACTACCTTTTCCATGCAAGCGGGAAAAAAAATAATTTAATTTTTACCAGATTTAAAGCGAAACTCAGTGAATGCATCGATTTCATAATTAACTTCTATTATTTGGAAAATTTCACCCTCTTCTACGTTTTTGGAAATGGATGTGCCTAACATTTCTTTCGTTTTGCGTCCCATAAAAATGGAACTTTTCCTCTATTCAGTTCATTTGAAAAACGTTGTTTTAAAATTTGTATTTATTTATTTTCTGATTTTAGATTTTGTAATTTACTGCAATATTTTATCAGTTTTGAAATTTTATTTATTTATTTTTTGATTTTAGTTTTTGTAATTTACTGCAATGTTTCATATTTTTCAGTGATGGAAGTTGTGTCTCCTGCATACAGACCAATATACGGCTTGAGTATTAATTTCGGTTGGTGTCTTGGATTTGTGTCTCTGCCTCTGATTGCTTGGATAATTCGTGATTGGTTTTGGATTCAACTTTTTATAACTGTGCCAAATGTCTTCTTGCTGTCCAGTTATTGGTAAGAACAGAAAGGTGCTGTCTAAAAAAAGTTAACTCCTTTATAATTATTGTTGCTTGACGCTATAAGATAACGCAAGATTTTTAAGAAAAAATTATTCTTAATAACAATTTTGTCTTAAAAATTTAGCGTCTTCTTATCTTAAAAATTTATTGCTGTAAACTACTTTCGGTAGTAAGCCTGAAAGTTTAAATTTTCAGTTAGTAGCCAGGGAATGGTAGGCTCCAGTAGCCTAGTAGCCACTTTTTTCTCTGGCCACATTCATTACGTTATAGGTCCTTTTCATTTATTAGCCACGTTTTGAAAACTTCCTTTTTGCTTGGATAAAATTCGAAACCATGGTAAACGGAAGTGGGAAAGTGTGGAGAATGGGAGTCTCGAGNGATTGCGTAGCAATTCTCGGTGGTTGGCGAGCGTTAGCGAGCAGAGGGATGAGCGTCCTAGTTAGAAATATTCTGCTGCTGTATAAAGTTAATTTAACATTAAAAATAATATAAATATGCGATAAAGTTTAGTTTAATATATTTACTTTTTAAAAAAAAAACATTTCTTTGAAAATATTTGGGGAGGTGTAATACGTTTAATAAATACATTACAGCTTTGAATTAATTCGTTAGAATTAATTGTAATTGAATTAATAATAATTGTTATCGAACTCTCCTTCCACATGAATCTTTCCATCACAAATTGATGGATTCAAGGATCAAAAGTTTGAAAGTTGACACTGGACATTTGAATGAAAATTCAGTTTTCCAGAATCACTCAGCAGAGTGGTTGGTTGTTTGTTTAATTTAAGTAGCCACTCTTTTTTGTTGACACGCCACGTAGTGAGTGGTTATTTTCCGACATATTATTTAAAAAAAAGTTTGTTTTATGATTTCAGCGTTTGATGTGTTCTGCGTACTGTCATTGATAAATTTAAAAATATTTATTTTTGTAGTTGCTGTAGGCAGGAAATGAAGTTTTGAACGTTAAGTTGCAGAACTATAATGCCGATAGTCGTTCTGTACTAATGTGTAGTTCACAGGCAAATTTTAGGTGGCCTAGCGGTTAGCGTTTCTGACTGTGAAGCCAATGGCTAGGGGTTCGAATCCCGCTCTGGGCATGGATGTTTCTCTCTATATGTTGTCCTCTGATGTGTGAATGTGGCCCACCCTATGAACGGGTATTTGTGGCAGTCTGGCGTGGGTAATGTTGCTCGCCTCCGTTACTTAGGTTCACAATAAAACTCTTTCTGCACCATGGCAAAACAATAATTCAAACACACGCATATTGATTCTCTTAGTTAGACAGTTATGCTTTTTCATTGTTTGCTAAGAACTAGTTGAATGCCAAGAGACGGACCAAATTTAAATGATCATTTCTCAAAGTAATTTTCAGAAGAAAAAAAATTATGAAAAAGAACTCTTATTCTAACGTAATTTAATATGCATATTATCGTTGCTTGAATGTAAGATTTAAACTTTAGCTGAGAGCTGGTATAACGTGTAGACCATGCAAAAGATTATTTGCTGAAATTTTCTTGATTGTCTTCTTCATATTGGCCATTTGAGGTGATTATGGGCATAGACACTTGACTTTCTTCATCTTCTTCAAATCTTTCTTCAAATTTGTACGCTCTAATTCGTAACTTAACTTTAATTTTCATGAATATCTTTGTATAGACCGCTGACGGCTTAATTCGGCACTTATTTTACTTGTTTTTTTCCAGCATCCTTGCAATCTTTTCCGTAAAAAGATGGCTTCTTCTTTACAAATGGTTGCTAATGTTCTCAATTCGCTAGTCAACATGAGAATCGAATTGAATTTAGGGTTGGGCTTAAAAAAGCTTAAGTGTATACCACAAAAGTGCATACCACGAAAAAGCTTAAGTGCATACCACAACATTTAAAACAAGCACTTCTTATGTGAAGATTCGGCCCACCACAGATATATTCTACGGCTTTAAAAAGTTAATTTAACATTAAAAATAATATACCTTCAAGCTGATCTAATATCGGTGCTGGTAACAAGAGTTATGATGCCTAGTTCCACTTCCTAGCAGCTTAATGTTTATTATAATATTATATATTAGTATAATATTATATATTAGTATATTATATATAATAATGTTATTTATTATAATATTTATTATAATATTATTTATTATAATATTTATTATAATATTATTTATTATAATATTATTTATTATAATATTATTTATTATAATATTATCTATACGTTAAGTTCCCGTCGATCACACTTTCTTAAAATCTCTTCCTACTTCAATTATTATTTTCTTTACAATTTTATAAATTCGCGACAATTTTATATATCCCGACAATTTTATAAATTCTTTACATTCCCGACAAACCGTACAAGTTGGTAACTAGAGCTTGAACTTTTTGAATTTATTTTTTAAATGCAAATAGTGCAAGGAGATGTCTTAAAAAAATAAAGTTGAAGGTGATAATAAATTGAAACAGCTTTTTTTTTTCTTAAAAAAGATGCCAGTTTTAGAAACCTTTTAACTATGAATAACTATGTTTAAAAAATAGAAAACTGCTATTAAATATTTCGAAACTTAAGTTACAAAATTAATAATTTTTTTGCTGTTAGACAAAAAAAAAATTAATAATTTTACAACTTATTTTTGTTAAAAATTATTTTTAAAAATTTGATAATGAAAATATAAACAAAACAAAAAATTTTTGTAACTTATTTTTGTTAAAAATTATTTTTAAAAATTTTATAATGAAAAAATATTTTTTAGCTAGATGCAGGAAGCAATTTTTTGCATGCAAAAATAGTGATTTAGAAAAAATTATTCAAATAAATTTGGTTCGATTGGAGTACAAAATAATTAACTGTCTTGTGACGTCTATCTAGATATTATAATCATGAATTAAAAATTTGTACTTCTTTTGAATGTAAGGTTGCTTCCAGAATCTCCAAGATGGTTAATGTCCCAAGGAAACATCGAAGAAGTTGAGAGAATTTTGACTAGAGCTGCAAAAATGAATAACGTAGACACGTCTGATTTGAGTAAAAATGTTAAAGAAATTATGGTTGCTAAAAAAACGGTAAATTGGATTTTTATATCATATGAAAAAAATTTCCTAAATGAAACTAATTCCGGAATGTTTAATCTATGTATATAATTATTTTATATGGCCCCATAAACTCTAGTATTTCTCTATTCATTGGTAATACCACTCTTATTTTTCATTTTGCTACGTTGTCCTAAGTAATAATTTAAGTAGTGTTAAAAATTAGTTATACGTTTGGCGTTTGTTTATAATAGTTTTGTTTGGTTGTTTTAAGTAATAATGTAAGTATTGTCAACCATTATCTATTTAGTATAACAAATATTCGTAAAATCAAATGTTATCTATGTTATATACTGGTGAATTTGAGTTGAATAATTGTAGTGGTAGAGACGGTACACGTGACAGATATTGTGCATCGGTTACAGAATTGTACATATTCCGAAAGGAACATGGATTTCAATGTTATTCAGGAAACGTTGCCTTGAAATCTGATTATGTTTTAAATTAAAAATTATTTCAATTTCAGGAAGGGGAAGAGAGAGAAAAACCAAGTGGTAACTTTTTGGATTTATTAAGAACTCCGGGACTGTGGCAGAAAACGCTGAATTTATTTTACCTTTGGTAAGTTTGTTTTTGTATATTTTGTATATTAAGATAAACTTTTCATTGTTCTTTCACCTCACTCTCAGAAATGAAACTCGCATTTTTGACGATTCCTTAAGCAGCGTTTCGTTAAGATTGAAAATAATTTCGACACGAAATCGCAAGATTTGTGACGAAACCCGAACTCCCAAACTGAAATATTTCCACAACTTGGAACCTCAACTCGCAGTGCGCTGTGAGAGATTGTTAACTATAACGGCTAAACTAGAATGAAGACTAGACGATCGAAAATAAAGTAACGAAGTTTGAAGACCACCCTTTATGGTGGTCAAGAAGTTAGCCTCGTACCAGGAAGATCCTGAGTTCGAAACCTACATTGGGTGTAATTTATCTCTCTGTTCTATCTGTCTTTCTTGTTTTGCTAAGGCAACATTGATCCAGCTATATGATGCCCATGATAAACTGATTATTAGAAAAGTTAGATACATTAGTCACTACGATTTTTTTGGAGGGGGAATAAATTGACGAAATATTTCCTCACTTTGACGAAATGTTCGCTCGCAGCATATACCAGGAAACGGTTTTGTCAGAAACACAGAATGTTTTGAGAAATTTGAGTATCCATTTTTTAAAGTACTCCATAAATCATTTGAAATACTGAAATAGTGAGTTCAAGCAAACCTAGAGCAAACAATGAAGTTATGAATACTGAAAAGAAATTTTTCAAAATATCAAAATGAGAACAAATTCTGAGAAGACTTAAGATTATGCAATGTGGAAGTTCTCTTCCAATAATTTGATGAGTCTTCACATTTGTGCAAATTTTTTTCAGCAATTGGAACTTCATTTCATGCCCTAGTTTTTGCCAAAACTCACTTTTTTAATACTTCAAATTTTAAATTAGTTACGGGGGTGAAACAGAATTTGCGATGAAAATTTTCTCTCGAGGTATAGGGTCCTCGTAAGAATTATGCGTTTTGAGCTGACGATTCATAAACTATAATCATTCTATAACTTCAGTCTAAACGTGTCGGAACATATAATACCAGCTCAAATTATGCTATGTAAAAACTAATTTTTAATGAGAGAGCTTCACAAAAATGTACTAATTATCTTTAAAATTTGGTCATTATTTTTTAATAAAATATTTTTAATCAGGCTGTCGACTTGATCATATATTACAAGTGAATAAAATATGTTGAGAACAGCACTACAAATTTCATGTTGGCTAGTTCAATTGTTCGTTAGTTACGATAACTATTTTAAAAATTGAAGTTTTGTGCTATACATAAATTATTTTTTTAGATTTTCAACTGTTATTGAAAAAACACTTACAAGAGTACTTGACGAATAATACGATCATTTAGTGCATTAAATTTTTTTTTAAATTATCAAACCATGAGCTATTTTAATGCGTTTATGAACTACTTTTAAATATGCAAAAAAAAAAAAACTAATTTAAAAAATTGTTTTTCTAAGAATTATATAACTCAAAATAGATTTTTCTTAGACCTATTCATACTTACATAAAATAAATTTTATTTATTTAAACTAAGCTTCCATTAATTAAATAATAATCTTTATCTTAAGTCATAGTAATTTTTTGGTCCTTAATAATACGTAAAAATGTGCGCAATAATTACAAACACTTTGTTGACTGTAATGCATATTTATAGGAAGAAAAAAACGTTTTTATTTGCAAGTAATGAGTAAATTGTCAGAGATAAATATGTTAAAGTATGTAAAGTACCATTAAACTTTAGCTTTAAGAAATTAAACATATATTTAAATTTATAACGATTAGACGCAAACCGAATAATTGTTATGCTTTACAACAGAACTCATACAGAACGTTAAGAGAAAACTCATACATTATTAACTATAAATTATTTTAACAGGTGCATAATTGCGTTTATGTATTATGGTCTTTCATACAATACAAATGAGATGGCCGGAGATCCTTTTATAAATTTTGCTGCTTCTGGTGCTATAGAAATACCGGGTTATTTCATCTCTATATTTATCATCAAGTACTATGGTCGAAGGAATCCATTATCGGCGTCTCTGATTATTGGAGCCCTAGCCTGTTTTTTGATGTATCCTCTACCACAAGGTGCGTTTAATTTTTATCAATAGTATATTAACTTCTTAGTAAATTAAACAATCACTGATTTCTGAAAGTATTTATGAGCTTTTCACGCACCCACAGAAAAATATATGTCGAAAAAACTTATGGTTAATATGTTAATTAACGAGAATTATACTTTCTTTAACTTTTAATGATCTGGTTCCGAGAAAAACACGTTCAAATCTCAGCTAATAAGAAGTATTTGTGGAATTTTTAATAAACCATATTGTTAGTTATAGAATTTTTAAGTATACCATATTGTTATTGAGGCCAATGATATTTAATTAATTTTTGTAATGGTTCCTTCTGATAAAAAGTTAAACAGTTAAAGAAAAAAGTAAAAGTTAAAGAAAAGGGCACTTTCTCTATTAAAAAACCCCATGAAAAATATATTTTTTAACCCCTTAACAATTGGTTAATTTTCAAGAAAACGTTCATAAAAGCGCCTATTTTTTTCGCTTTTGTATTTGTATTACGTATTTTATTAGCGCAGACATCTAGTTTAAAATAAACTAACAATCTACAATTACCTTAAAAATATCCTGGTATTGCCATCTTGTGTAAAATGTGAAATAAAATGTTTTCCGGGCAAAAGAAATGAATTAATTTTATTCTTATTGGCGCGTTACTACTGATCACTCCAGCCGCCCGTCAATATCACGGGAGCGAGAAATAGAGGGCGAAAATTCACCCCGTCATTTTCACGGAAGCGAGAAGGAAGGGGTTAAAGCCAGCGATGATAAATTTCTGTATTGGTTATTACTATGATGTTGATTGGTATTTTTTAATAAGGGCTAAATATACTAATATTAGTACCAAGATAGCTTTCTGGTAATATGCTTTTACGGCCTGCAAAAAAGGATATGTTCAAGAGAAAATAGCTGATAGTGGAAATGTGTCTGATTATCAAGAGACTACAACAACAGCATTATGCCAAATTATACAGAATATGATTAATCTTTATTTTGAAGGGATGGACTTTGAAAAGCATATTTTGCTATATCTGGTATCATAAGCCACCGGGAAGGGCAACAAATAAAAAAAAATAGAATTACTTTTAGCTTAATTATATGTCTGTATACGTCTTTCAGTTTAGTACATGATTTTGTAGTGTTGACTAGTACTTATATTTTTTTTATCCTTTACCTTTCATTACGAAGAATGGGTATTCAGCTAGTTTGAAAAAATAAACAGTGCGCGGAAGAAAAAAAACGGACCAACCTGAACAGTTTTTGATTTAAATTATCGGATCTTCACTTTCTAGGACTCAATCTCAATGGTTCGAGAGGTTGATCTCAAATATGCTAATTAATTAGTGTATATGATATTTTAAGTTATAAAATAAGGCAAGAAAAAAAAGGAATTTTTTTGAATAAACATAACTTTTTTTCAACGGATTCGGATTTCTGACCCTCAAAATATAGGTAGTAGTCGCAATCTGGGAAATAAGGTCCCCATAAGTTTGGTCAGGAGAGCTATTCAAAGTTTTAGACCCCACAATGTAAATTTTATTTTTTGCGTATTTCACCACATTTCGAGAACTTTTTAAGCGAATTGCACACAATTTTAAAATTTGTTTATATATAGTTAATTCCTTGCAAAAAATAAGATAGTATATATTTATTTATTTATTATTACATTTTATTATATATTATTATTGCATTATATTCTTATATATTATTATTATTATGTTATTTTATAATATTTATATTTATTTATTTTTTATAATTTTGTTTGATAATAGTCGAAACAAATTTGAATTGTAAGGTATATTCTTTTTCATTATTTTAAATTACTTTGATTTTTATGGCCAAATGCAAATTATGAACAAAACAGGTCGAATAGTTTTTGAGAGATCAAATTATAAAAATGCGACTTTTTTAAAAAAATTTTATTTCTTAGGAACTATTCAATTGATTTTGCTCAAATTTTGTTTTTTGCCAAACAAAATTACCTACTTTAAAAAGATGTAAAAATTGTATACCTTACAAATCAAAATTTTTCGAATATTGTTAAGTAAATAATAATAAATAATGTTTACTGAAATATATTTTTTACATGGAGTTATCTTTGTATAATTCAGCGCAAATTTTTTTTTTCAATTCGTTTAAAAAGTTCTCGAGATATGGTGAAATACGCGAAAAGTAAAGGTGACATTAAGAGGTCCAAACTTTGCAGCGCTCTCTTGGCTAAACTATTTGAACCATATTTCCCTGATTGCAGTTACCTCTTACATTTTGGGGATCAGAAATCCAAATCCTTAGGCAAAAAGATATGTTTATCCAAAGAAAATACATTTTGTTTCTGATTTAGTAACTTTAACCATCGTCTGCTTTAAGTAATTAGCATATTTGAGGTCACTTCCTCGAATCATGGAGATTTAGTTCCAGATCCTGAAGATCCGATCATTAAATCAAAAGTTGTTCAACGTAGTCCATTTTTTTTGCACACTGTACATAGTATTATTGTATTATTTAGGCAGGTTCCCTGATTTATTTTATAAAATTTAAGAAAAATTTTAGCTTAGCCATTCTTTCCTTTATATACCTAACTATCAAATTTCAGAATAGGCTGGTGACCTTTTTTAAGTTAACTATCTCAGAAACTGCTTACATATAGGATTCGTTTAATTTTTATTCTTTCAGATCCTTGGTGGTTAAATGTTATTGTCTCAATGGTGGGAAAATTCTGTATCACCTGTGCTTTTGGAGTTTTATACATTTATACAGCAGAAATCTTCCCAACAGTTGTCAGAAATGTGGGCATGGGTTCTGCTTCTCTTTGTGCAAGGATTGGCTCCATTGTTGCTCCATTTGTTAGAGAATTGGTGAGCACATTTCTTTTAAAAATTATGAATTGTATAGTCTGGTGTCAGAAAAGGGTGATTCAAATTTCATGTTTTCAAAAAACTGTAAGAAATTGTTTGATAATGAGACAGCAAACTATGTACTAGTTGAGTTAGAAGCAGAGATGATTATAACCTTAAAACAAAAAAAGTGTTTACAATGGTGCAGATTGAATTGATAAACTTTATACATGAACTGTAATGAACACTCAAAGTATATTTTAGAATCCTTGTAAAAAATGGATTAAAAAACGAGGCTAATTGAATGTCGCAAAAAATAAGGAAAACAAAATATTTTTCAAATTCTGACCATTCACAATTGAGGACAATAAGTACAAAGACGGGATTGAAATCATCTTAAATCGATTTATTTAAATAACTTAACCAAAGGTGAATGCAATCTAGTTTTAGTAGACAAATAAATTAGTTTTTTATAATTTAAATACCTCTTTCATTCTTCCCATCTTCAATAAGAATTGGTCAAAATTTTGAAACGTTTGTCTTTAATTTTATTTTTTTCCAGCAAAATATTAGTTTGTGTTCGCTAATACACAGATTGTTTTGTCTTCATTTTCTACAAAGAAGCTAAAATGGTAGATTAAGTTTTGTCTCAGTGGAACACTCTCCCCGCCATAACCAACTCTTAGAATGACGCATCTTACAAGCAATCCTATAAGCTGATTGTTCCATAAAAACTCAAAACTTTAAAAATTAATTAATTCTTTTTTTACAGCAAATTCTTTATTTTAAAATACATTTTTCGTTATTAAATTATATTTTTCAGTGTGTTCATGTATGTGTTCCAACTATTTCCAGCTCATTTTACTGCTCATTTTAGTTCAAAGTTCACCGCCTTTTTATGAGAATGCATTTGTAGAAACTAATATAAGGCATCGGTTCGCAATATTTTTCTGTTATCCAAATAAGGAAACACGAAAATATTTCAAAACACAAATATTAACAAAGCAAATAAGTAAAGTAAAATGTATTCAGTATATTTGAGTGTGGGTTTTGTTTGGAGAGCTCTTCTTAACGAGCTTTAAAAAATATCTAGAACATCTTGTTGCTATCAGAATACACTAAAAACGATGCCATCAATGATTTATTTTTAAATTATTATAATTTATTTTCGAGTTGAAAGTTAAATTATCAAAATATTTATTCTAGAAAAAACTAAGCATCTCAAACGAACAAACCTCTTCTCGTCTTTTAAAGCTAACTAATTTTTATGATATAAAATTAAATGCAGACTTAAACGAAAAACATAATTGTATATTTATTTAAAATAATTCTATCATTCATAAAGGTTAAATTTGTTTTTGCACATAATTATATCACTTGAGAACATTTTTATTGACGCATTGATTCTAAATTTTATTCACCGATCTAGTTTTCACGACGCCAACATAAGTGGAATTTCCGCCAAAAAAAAAAAAAAAAAAAAAAAAAAAAAAAAAAAAAAAAAAAAAAAAAAAANAAAAAAAAAAAAAAACACTTATTAAAATTAAAATCGTTTCCGAAAAATCATGTGACTTCGACAACATTTTAAGTCAATGGAGGTAACCCCTAAGAACGACCAACCTCTATTAACGACCACTTTACTGTGGAACAGTGAGTGGTTGTTTTCAGTCATCGACTTAATAATGGCAATCATTTAATAAGGGAATATTCTGTGTTATTTAAAGGGGACTTTTTAAAAATGTATGTTGGTTAGCTACCTCGAAGGAAAGTCCAGTATCAATCAAAAAAATCAAAGAATTAATTTCCATTTAATTTTAAATATTCAATCAAAGAATAGCAACAGTAAATCAAACTATAAAACTTTTTTCGAAGAGAATTGAAAAAATGTCACCCAAATAGTGAATTATTTCACAAAATTTAGCAAGAACGCGACAAAATGTCCCTTTGTTTTATAACCTACGTTCAACAGCAGATTCAGTTTTCGATTTATGACTATCAATGTTCAACTCCGTAGCACTGGAATAAACTAGTTTCCTTGGAGGACTTATTGAAGAGCTAACCCGCATTTGCGTTACATGAAGAGGAAAATCTCGAAAACCTCCTATAGTTATCCCGACGGTAAATGAATTCTTACCCATGAACCGTCTTCTTTTTCCACTGAGGATGTTTTTCGTAAGTGCAGAGATCAATGCGGGCCAGGAGCATGTTTCTTATTCACCAGCCATAGTATCAAGGATCAAATATCTAAATCCAACTAAACAAAATTCATGTTTATTTAGAAAAACTACGTTTTTGAGCTGATTTCGTAACACAAAATATCATCTGCACTAGTTAATTAGTTTATTTAAGATTAGGCCCTCGAACCATAAAGAATGAATCTTAGGCCGGGATAGCCTGGTCAGTAGTGCACTGGGCCCATGTCCGAGAATTCGAACCCCGCCGGCCGAAGACTCCTGACTGATGCACGGTTACTGATGCACATCAAAATTCTGTTAAGTTGCAAAGTCCTCCATATTCCCATAACAGACCAAACCTCTGGGGGTACTGGATTGGAGATCGATCGTTCTCTGATTCAGGTCAAAATTACGATCTGTGGATGAATGAATGGATGTATGAATGGGTCCGCCTTATAAACAGGTGTGACGNAATAGGAGCCTATGTGTCTTCAAAGAAGATATTGCAATCGGATTTACTGTATAGCACGTGCGCCGAAATGATGCGCAGCAATTTCTACTTTCCCCACCTTTGAAATAAATGGAATGATCCAGTCTCAATCAGAGTCAATGTGGGAATCAAGGGCTAGTGAACCAACCAACCATTCTTAGTCGATCTTATCTAATCATTAGATCAAATGGTATTGAGATTTTAATCACTTTTACTGTTATATCATCAAAAATGGTCAAAATTTTGTCAATATCAATGGCTATTTATATAGTACGCATATTTAACAGGGACATGCCACGCATGCTGTTGTGCCACAAATTATATATGGAGTACTGGCAGGTATTGCTGGTCTCTTAGTCTTGTTGCTACCGGAAACAAATAATTGTCGCGTACCAGATACTTTGGAAGAAGCAGCAAAATTTACCAGGTAAAATATTCTTAATATTCTTAATCTTTTGCACTGTAAGAAAATCAGAGTTGATTCATTAGTCTCGTAAGATTTATGTTAAGTTTTAATATTTGCTTGTATTAACTAATAGCGCAAAATTGAAAATAGCATTATTGGAAAAAGAAACATAAAATAAATGACTGATTTTCTCATGCTAGTATCGCTATGATATAACTATAGATATCTATCGCAAGTATATAAAAAGTTATAAATCGATTTCACCGCATTCGTTTTCAACATACTAAAATCACATTCTTAATTTTTATGTTAAAAATTTAAAAATTTTTTATCTTTAGGCTTAGGTTTTCGTTAAAAATGTAACAGCAAAGTAAAGGCTTAATGATCTTATTAAAATGGGTGAATTGACGATTTTACTTTAGAAATCTTTCGTTGGGCTATGTTAAAAAGAAATCAGCAATTCAAAACTCCTTGTAACAACTTTGTATAAATCAGCTTTTTCTTTTAAGTGCTATTATTAATCGAAAAGAAAAGATGAAAGCTGAGATTGACTATCATTTGTTCGCTTCTGCAATCAGAAAAAATAATATTAATCAAATTCCTAAAACATATTTTGATCCGCTTTATTTAAAATACTGAATGAATTAAAATTATTCTATTAACTTTGATTGTCCTAAGAAAAAAAATATACCCAGTTCTGTAAACAGACAATTAAATAAATTTTTGTGAAAGTTGGTATTAAATGAAATTTATTAAAAATTTAGTTGTGTAATGGAATGGAATGTGATTAGTATTTCTGATACAACTTATTACTGACATCTTGTATTACCTTATGCGAAAATAGGCTTGTACTTTCCTTTGTACATCATATCTCATACTAACTAATAAAATTTCTCTTAATGTAAATAAAAAAATTATAATGGTTTTTTTTTGCATAGTATATGCTATAGATTGATTGTTATTAAGATTTTTCAGTGTATCTAGGAGGTTGAACTTTTTATAACGACGGGGTAAAACAAGAATAATATTGCAACGCTGATTAAATATTCTACGCTCAACCAACACAAATGCTGCGTCTATAATCTTCAATTTGTATAAAATATTTTTAAAAAATTATATGATAGTAAAGCTGAAATATATCTTGCACAAAAATGCTTTATTTTGGGGTCCTTTTACCTGAATCTATCTAAATTTTGCAGTTACTTTTCAAGATTTAAATTCTGAAAACTATTAGGACGTTAAACTGTTGCACCATATTATTTAAAATAATTGTCAAAATGTTAATTTTGCTACTATAACTTTATTAATAGAAATAGCATATGGATAAATAATTAGTAAAATTTCATATCTGAAATATTTCGTTAAATACAACCAAAATATGACCAAATATTTGAGAAATAAATTGAAAAAAAGAAAATAAATAAAAGCGTATGGTTCACTAAGTTTTGCTTCAGAGAATTTAAAAATTTGTAACTAAGTTCCTTAACAAATGGTGCTGCTGGCTGTCAATCCATAAAACTATGTTTTTTACTACATGCCAGATCATTCCAGTTAAAATATTTGCTCAAACTTCTGATAATTTTGTTTCCAGATTATGCCACATTTTTGCTACAAATGCTAGTTTTTTGAAAACATTGTTTTGTATCTTTTTCATAAGTTATTAGCGCCATATTTTATGGAACTTTTTAACCATTTGGTAGAAAAAGCAGTCACTTGTTTTCTAAGCAAAACTAAGTGATAGCGATTTATTTTATGGACTCGCTGTACATTTAAAATTTAACGTGCTTTTTTTAAATTTGTACATAATATTTATTTCATTTAAAATATTACAGGAAAAGGAGTTGTGTGAGAGAGACTAATCACCTACCCATGCAAGAGTTGGTGAGTGAAAAGACTTAAGTTGGTTTACATGCAAACTAGCATGTTCAAGTGCATTATAGAACACGTATCATGAAAAGGTTGAATCTCATCATTTGCTTAAACAAAAAGCATTAAATGTGCTTTAAATATTTATTTGTTTGCATAATGTAAATTATTTTTGCATGAGTTGAACTGAGTTTAGCATACCATTTTAGTTTTTAAAGCACACTTTTTATTTGTTACTTTAGAGATTTTTCAATGGTCATATTTCGTTACTTAATTGTTATTACTTAATTTAATATTTATTGATGAAGTACAAAATGCTAGCATAGCATAAAATGCTTGAAAAACCTATTATAAATAAATGATATTGTTAAGAATATTTTTTTAATAAAACAACCATTTATTTCTAATAAAAATTAGCAAAAAGCGAAAGGATTCGTGAAACCTTGTTTAAATTTTTAACTCATCACTAGTTACTAACATACGACTTTTAATTAAAATTGAAAGGTGTAAAATGAGAAATTCGCATCACTCTAAATATTTGCATGATTCAAAACATTAAAATCAATGTAATGAAATAAATACAACACGAAAATTTACATTAAAATAAATGGAAATTCAATTAAAATAAATGGCATTCGCGTACAAATCATAAAAATTATTAGCATCATTTAAAAATTTGTGACAGTAATCTATTCATTTATTTGTAAATAAGTTTACTCATTTATCTACTTAAAATGATGTAAAAATTGAACAAAACAACTTGTACAGTTTATTCTTCATTTATTGACAAATGATCAATTAATATGGAAGCCAAAAATTTGTATTGCCAAAGATTTTTATTCATTCATTTACAAATGATGAATATGAAGCAAAGAATTTAACGTTCTGCCAATTTTAGACAATTGAACTTGCAAAATAAATTTAAAGAAGGGAATAAGTTTACAATCGCTTATAAAATTTTTTAAAGTAAAGCATGTAAAGAATAAAGTTTATTGATGTTGGAGGTAAACTATACAAAAAAGTACCGTATAGGAAAACAAACAATGTCATAGAAGCGTTTAGCTACTCTCCATTTGCTAACAAATGATAAATTAAAATCAGAATCTTATAAATTACATGAAAAGTAATTCCATTGAAAAGATACGAATACAATTTCGAAATCAATTTTACGAAAAAAATACTAACTGTGTATTATTTATTTATTTACAATTAATAAAGGTTTAATAACATTGGAGAATCATTAACTTAAAAATGATAAAAGCGGAGCAATGTTATCATTTTTAATATCACAACATAATCAATTTGAAATAAAGAAATCAGAGTAATACTAGAGGATCATTTACTTAAAAATGATAAAAATGAAGAGTTATTAGAAGATCATTTACTTAAAATGAAATAGCACTATCATTTGTTATGTACTATTATCTATAGTGATAAAAATAAAATAAATTTAGGGTATCATTTACCTTAAAAATGAACACAATGAAATAATATTAGAAGATCATTTACTTAAAATGAAATAACACTGTCATTTGTTATGTACTATTATCTATAGTGATAAAAATAAAATAAATTTAGGGTATCATTTACCTTAAAAATGAACACAATGAAATAATATTAGAAGATCATTTAGTCCAATATGAAGGAAATTAAGACATATTTGGGGATAATTTATTTGAAACTATGAAAATGAGGCAATATTGCAATTCGCTTCTATTTGCCGTCAGAAAAAACGTCACAGAAAAATACGGATACGTATTTCTCTAATAAGTGGTCTTGAAGTGTAACTTAATGAAATAATACTGTTTAATATAACAATAACGATCTGTTCAGTGCAGCAGAAGAAACGGACCACCCTGAATAACTTTTAATCTGATGATCGCATCTTCACATTCTAGGAATCAGTCTTAATGGGTGACGAAATCAGACACAAAAATGTATTTTTTTCTGAACAAACATATTTTTTTCCAGATAGATTCGAATTTCTGACCGCAATCTGGGAAATATGGTCCCCATAGTTTGATCAGTAGGGATATCCTAAGTTTGGATCCTTTAATGATAAATTTATTTTTTGCGAATTTTGCCATAATTTAAGAATTTTTTAAGCAAATTGAAAAAATTTCTGCACACAATTGTTAAATTTGTTTATCTACAGGTAATTCCATGCAAAAAATTTATGTTAGTAAATATTTATTATTTTATTTAAAAATAGTCAAAAAATTTTGAATTGTAAGGAATGCAATTTATTACATTATTTTAAAGCATGTAAATTTNTTTAGGGTATCATTTACCTTAAAAATGAACACAATGAAATAATATTAGAAGATCATTTAGTTCAATATGAAGGAAATGAAGACATATTTGGGGATAATTTATTTGAAACTATAAAAATGAGGCAATATTGCAATTTGCTTCTATTTACCGTCAGAAAAAACGTAACAGAAAAATACGGATCCATGTTCCCTGACAAGTGGTCTTGAAGTGTAACTGAATGAAATAATACTGTTTAGTATAGCAATAACAATCTGTACAGTGCTTCAGAAAAAAACGGAGCACCCTGAATAACTTTTAATCTGATGATCGCATCTTCACATTTTAGGAATTAGTCTTAATGGGTGGCCTCAAATATACTAATTCATTGGTTCAGACAATATTTTAAGTTACGAAATCAGGCACAAAAATGTATTTTTTTCTGAATAAACATACTTTTTTTCCGATAGATTCGGATTTCTGACCGCAATCTGGGAAATATGGTCCTCATAGTTTGATCAGTAGGGATATCCTAAGTTTGGATCCTTTAATGATAAATTTATTTTTTTGCGAATTTTGCCATAATTCAAGAATTTTTTAAGCAAATTGAAAAAATGTCTGCACACAATTGTTAAATTTGCTTATCTACAGGTAATCCCATGCAAAAGATTCATGTTAGTAAATATTTATTATTTTATTTAAAAATAGTGCAAAAATTTTGAATTGTAAGGTATGCAATTTTTTACATTATTTTAAAGCATGCAAATTTACATGGTAAGATAAAATGTGAGCGAAATCGGTCGAATAGTTCCCGAGAAACTGATTTTTAAAGCAGACGTATAGTTAAAATTCGAGTTTTCAGGAACTATTCAACCATTTTTGCTCAAATTTTTAATTTTGCTATGTAAAATTACATACTTTAAAATTATATAAAAAAAATTGCTTATCTTACGTTTGAAAACTGTTTGGAATATAATTAAATAAAATAATAATTATTTGCTAAAATTTATTTTCGGTATGGAATTATCGTTGGGTAAACGAATTTTAAAATCGCTTGCAAAATTTTTACAAATCGTTTAAAAGTTCTCGATATATGGTGAAGTAAAATTAACATTAAGGGGTTCAAACGTTTGATCACTCTCCTTACCAAACTATGGTGACCATTTTTCCCAGATACCTATATTTTGGGAGACAAAAATCGGATTTCGTTAAAAAACAAAAATTTGTATATCCAGAGAAAGTACTTTTTTGTGTCCGATTTCGCAACTTAAAATATCGTCTTTACTAATTAATTAGCATATTTGAGGTCACTCTTTCGAACTATTAAAGTTGCGTCCTAATAAGTGAAGATCCGATCATTAGATCAAAAGTTATTCAGGGTGGGTTTCTTCTTCGCACTGTACCCATTGTTTTATACTGTTTAATTTTAAGTTAAAACTTAAAGTAAAATCTTATAATTTTTATTATATAACCTTATAATTTTTATTATATTATGAATAAATTATTCGAAGACATTAGTTTAATAAAGTAATTTAGATTTTATTTTATTTTCCTTTTTTTTTTATTTGCCCGATACAGTTGTTTTAGCCCTCTTTTCCTGGATAACTATTCATAGTAAAAGTCGCAGACGGGAAAGAATTATATTTTAACAAATTCGATACGCGATACGGTGCTGTATCTAATTATCTTTACTTTAAATAACATTCTAACTAAGTGCTGCCATCTAGTGTGGCAGAAACTAGACGTCCAAATTAACACGGCCAACGGTATCTCACCCATTGTGGTGGTCCTGAAAGAGTGGATACCACTTCTGGAGAACGCATTAGGTCTGCTCATGTGTGCGCACTTGTGCAGCTCATTGGAAATAAATATTAAAAAAAAAACATTCTAACTTGTGTGGTTGGAGAAACTTGGCTCAACTATAGCACGCCATTTTGTTTATAAACGATCAGCTGGGGCTGATATTATAGGTCATATGTGTGGGTATTCTCTTCTTGAAGTGCGGGTACCCAATTGGAATTGTATTATTGCAGTGGCAGTTACTCAACAATATTTTTATAACTTTTTATTGATTTTGTGCTGATGACGACCAAAAATATATGGAAATTCATGCGGGTAAACTAGATCCAATCATGTGATTTTCCAGCCAATAAAATTCTATTGACTACGATAGAGAACTGCGCCACCATCATAATATTTTTATCTATAGTAAGATATTTCTGCTAACATTAATCGACCATTTTTCCATATTTATTTCATAATAAAAGAGGAGAGAATTAACTGCATAAAAAAAGTCAGCTTAACTTTCAAGTGATACTTTTTTTGTGAGCTATAATTTTTTTCCCATTCTGTTATTAATACTACTTATTTTTAAAGCGGATATTTGTGTTTTGTAACTAATAATATGTTATATGATTGATGATTTTTGTATTGTGTTATTTTAGTAAGTACTGTTTGTTTTCTTTGTATATTTAAAATATGCTTTGAATATTTTACTTTTAATATCAACTCTTTTTATAAAGAAAAATTAACAAGACACTTACGATGGTTGATGATTTTTGTAATTTGTTATAAGTCTTGTTTTTTTAAAATACTTTTTATATTTAAAATATAGACTTGAACATTATACTTTTAATATTAGCACTTTTTAAAAAAAAATTAATTTTAATATAAGCATAATATTTATAATTGAATGTTTGTGTTGAACTAGAAAATTGAAAGATATTTCTATTCGATATTTTTACATAGTTATAAAATGCTTTTATAACATTTAATAGATTATAATATTTTTCATTAGTTTTGCAATAAATCAGCAATGTTTAAAATAAATAAGTTTGTGATATTTTGTTTATTGAATTTTCTTTCTCCTAACTATTACTATTTTTAAATTTTATAATATTGACATATTTGTAAGCATTTAAAAATTATAACTTTACACTTTTGAAATATTAACTGAAACGAAGTTGGGGACGGATCTGGTCCGGCCTCGAAATCTAGTGCAAAAGCACAACGACCGGGCATTTATCTTTATGTAAACCAGGTGGAAAGCCTTACTTTTCGACAATGTCCAGGAAAAATAATTACAGTGCTTAAAAGAATTTCTTCTTTGAAAGAAGGGACACATATAGTTCATTTTTAAAGGGCTGCGACGCTGAGTCAGTTAATAATGTATGAAACTCAAAATTGCTTAAAACATTGAAAGTATCTTAGTTTAATTATAACTATCGAGCTAGATCTACATTAAGGGGTGATTGTCGATAATATTTGATTCATCCTTAATAATAATCCGAAAACATACTAGCGCATGCGTGTACTACAATACCACAATTTAAATCTAAGGAAATTTGGTGGTTGTAATTATCTATCCTCCGTAACACACTCCCCAACCACCCAACCATGTGTGGACTTTTTCGTCTTCTAAACCACGTTCACATTACGTTAAGGTAAATACCAAATGAAACAATAAAATATTGTACAGTCCGACTAGACACCAAGCATTTGTCAAATGTAATCGAACCCAAATCCAATCATTGCTAGAATAAAACTAAACCCTACTCACAGCCTTGTTTAGACTAAGAAAACAATTTTGTTAATTTGTTGACAGCCAAGATCGCGTGCCTGAGTTAACTACAATATAGAAAAGGCTGGTAGCCCACAGGTTAAAGATAAACTATATGGTTCGATTATATCGGGAATAGTTTTCGGAGTATGATTCCATTAGAAATTTTCTACTGGAAACTTGAATAATTATTTTTCAGCCAAAAACTTGAAAAGTATTTTTCAGATCCTCCTGTGTCACAAGGTCAGTATTTTCTTCTCGCCAAATAATCGTAAATTAACCAGTTTATCTCTCGTGATCGTGAAGTTATGGAGTTTAATGTCCACTCACCTGTATTTATTTATTTCCTTGTTATATCTTATCTTTCAATTTTACAAAGGGGATTATATCAGTTCTCTGTATCGTGCTCACAGGTACGTACGCGAATTTATTCATAAATCAAGGGACCTTTCATTATGTAGCCTAGGGGCAAAGATTAGGACTTTGATAGAAGAGATCACAGGATGGTGCCTCTAAATCTCTCAAGTATCTTAGCATGTACAGCGGACATGGTGTATATATATATATATATATATATTACCCTATTATAGTGCAACTACCAATGATCAACTCCGTATCCTTGCAATTTTGAAACTAATTCAGAAGCTAAGGGTTAAAGCATTGGAAGAAATTTGCTTGCTCGTGAGATTTTTTGATGGACCCGAATTTGCTTTGCATGGAGAGGAAAACCACGGATACCACCCACGGTTATACCCTGACGGCAAGAGAACTCTAACCCAAGATCCGTCTACCACTCCTGATATTTTACATCAGCACAGTGGTCGATGCGAACCCGGTGCGAAATTCGTATCAACCAGCCATCGCTGGGATTCGTACCAAGGTCACCTCATCAGGAGGCAAACGCTCTATCCTTTGGGCCACCACGGTTCTTTATTGAAATGTTTGTCATAAAACTTAGGAACAAGTCTTAAGTCAAATTAAGATTCAGTTAAGATAAAATACAATGTTATAACCTGAAATTAACTAGCTACATTCTCTTCAGAGCAGAGCACCAAGCCACAACCACCATTGTTTATAAAAAATAAAAATAAAAATCAATTAAAACTTGCAGAGGTTGGTCTTTTATGATGTCGGTAAATAGTCCTTTAGTTTATATCTCTGATCGGTAGTTAATTCTATTCTTGCCTTTTAAAAATAAATAAAGGAATTGCTGATCGAAACCGTCCTTTTTGTGATATCGGTATCTGATGTTCCCCTATATTCATGTTGTTTGACTTTCAAAGTTTTATTCTTTATTCATTCATGCATAAAAATAATAGCTTGTTCGCCATTAAAAAAAAAGAAAAAGGCACAAGTTTTCTCTTTAAATTGAAAGACAATTGATAAATATTACAAAAAAAAAACAGTCCACTACCTCCGCATTTCATAGCATGTTAACGGAAGAAGTAGTCTGAGAAGTTAACTGCCCAACAAACTTGGCGAGGTCTAACAAATAGGCTTTGAATTAAGTATGTAACACTCGCAAAATAGAAATAAAAATAAGGCTTTCAGAGCACGTAAAATTTTGTAAACGTTAAAGACAATAATAAGTAATGAAATATTATTTTTAAACCATAAATTAAAAGCAAGAAATTAAAATAATTGCATAATTTCTTATTAATATCAGTTATGACATTCAAAGCGATTTATTTATTGCTACAGACATATATATATAGAGGCCTGTAGGCTTACAAGCCATTGTCAATATATACTGTCACAGGCAGTATATGAGTTAGAAAGATCTCAAAGATACATACATTGTGTTACAGTGGAATTTGAACCAGCTACTCCATGCTGTCAAAATCACGTGGAACGGATTTGAAACCTGCCTAAATTTAAAATTGTTTATTTACTTGTTGGTACTGCATATAGTTGCAGGCTTGTGTACTCTATTAAGGCTTATAAACCCTTGTCAAGTAGAAGGACAGGCAGTATATGAGTTAGAAAGATCTCAAATATATATACATTGTGTTACAGTGGAATTTTCACCCGCTACTCCATGCTGTCAAAATCGCGTGGAACGGATTTGAAACCTGCCTAAATTTAAAATTGTTTATTTACTTGTTGGTACTGCATATAGTTGCAGGCTTGCGTACTCTATTAAGGCTTATAAACCCTTGTCAAGTAGAAGGACAGGCAGTATATGAGTTAGAAAGATCTCAAAGATACATACATTGTGTTACAGTGGAATTTGAACCCGCTACTCCATGCTGTCAAAATCGCGTGGAACGGATTTGAAACCTGCCTAAATTTAAAATTGTTTATTTACTTGTTGGTACTGCATATAGTTGCAGGCTTGTGTACTCTATTAAGGCTTATAAACCCTTGTCAAGTAGAAGGACAGATGGCACAATACTGAGAAGGTCATCACAAGTTTGTTTGTTTGTAGTTCATTTATGTCAAACTAGAGCTGCACAATGGGCTATTGGCGACGGTCTGGGAAACATCCCTGAGGATGATCCGAAGACATGCCATCACAATTTTAATCCTCTGCAGAGGGGATGGCACCCCCGCTTCGATAGCCCAACGACCTGCGCGCGAAGTCGAGCACTTTACGGTAGCACAGTTTAACGAGGACCAATACCGCACACCCTCGGTCCCTACGCAGACTGATCCAAGTGGGTCACCCACCCGTACACTGACCGCAGCCAGTGATGCTTGACTTCGGTGATCTGCTGGAAACCGTGTCTTAATGATCAGTCCACTGCGGGAAGTATCTTTTTCGTGCTGTTCTTATGTGAATTGTGCTATCTGTTTTTCTATTTGACAAAGGCTTATGAGTCGTATTTATGTATTCGAGCACTCAAGCTTGCATGTATGTGTGCCAATAAATAAATAAATAAATAATTTACGTGGTGCATTTCGATGTTTGAAATTTTAAACCAACAGATCTGTAAGTTTGAAGTTACTGTCAGAATAATTGCTGTTCACAAGTGAAATAGTCTTTTGCGAAACATTTTTTGACGCTCCAACCTTTCATTTATTAAATTATGGCCGATAATTTATAAGTTTTTCAAAGTAAATAAAGTTTAAAATGCTTAAGATATTGAAAAATCCATAGGTCACCTGTTCTCCGAGGAAAAAGAAACCCATCAAGTTTATTAGAAAAGAAAAATCTAAAACAGTTTGCTGCATCATAAATCCATCAAATTCTATTCAACATTAATTGATGCATCCTTGTTCGACCGCATGTCGTTTAAAAAGTAGCAATCGTTGTCTGTTACAACATTCAAAGAAATGAACGTGTCATAAATGATTGCTTGCAGTGTTTTGGTATGTAGCAAAAATTTTATTTTATTTTTAATGCTTGATTTATACTGAATACTGATGGTATATCTACGTTTTCCTTTTCTTTTTCGAAAAATGAGGTTACTAATATTTTCACATTTACGATAAAATAAAGTTCAAAAAATGCCTATTCCCTTTTTTTTTTGTCTTGTGATAATTTTGATATTTCTTAGCTCTTAGACAAATCAGCATTCGTGTTATTAGATAGTTAGATGAAAATACATGTTATTGAAGTACCAAATTGGATTATAATTTAATTTTAAAATGTATGTTAACTACCTAGGTTTTCCAAAAAGAAAAAAAACATACGAACATTTTTATAACCTAAATTAATACTTTCAACTTTAAAAATGACTATTTTATATACTTTCTACTCGATGTAAAGAAATATTTTTTTTTTACTTTTTATTAAACCAAATGAATGAATTTTGATAATTACATTTAATTTCTCCCAGTTGAATAAAAATGTATATTATTTATTAAAATTTGGTTTACATACTAAACAAAATTGCTACTATTCAAGTCTGAAACTTTTGCAAAAATAAAAATTTTGTCAGCTTTTATTTCTTCTTCTTCTTATTAGATTTCTACTCGTATTTCTGACGCATATTTCCCAAACTGAGCAACAGTAATACGCATGTAAATAAAAAAAATGATAAAAATAACAATAGTAAAAAATATGTAATAAAAATAATAGTAAATAATGAAAATAATAATTTATCAATGTTTGTGTTATTTTTAATAATTCTAAAATGTGACAATTCTTACAATTAGTCGTAAACAATACTTGAGTTTTAGATTAAAAATCATTTAAATATTTTAAAACAAAAAAATTCACTACACTGTGAATTATGTTTATGAAAGTATACAATCGCATGTCTCTAAGTGGTTGATTTCTGTTAAAATTTTCTAAAAACAAGAATTTATAATTTTACTTTTAGTTTATTTCGAAATTTGAAGCTGAAATTATTTTTTTACGTAAGAACAACAACAACAACAAAAAACTATTAATTCAAAATAAATCTTAACAGTACATGGACAAGATTTTTAGACATGATTAGACATATTATATATTTTTAGACATATTTAGACGGGAAAAAAAAATTTTGAGCATCCTATGGCAAAAATATAGCGATAAACTTGTAACTTAAATCAACTATAGTTTGTCTAAAATAAGAACTCCTTCAGACATTCGTCTGAGCCTGTGGCGGTGACCATGGTAACGAGGTATGATTATTTCAAGCAGGGGTGCGGGGTCACTGTTTTGAAGTGGTTTCGGCTCGAGTCAGCGAGAGAAAGGGAATCTCTTCGGTCTATTGTGGTAGTCCTAGAGTGAAGCTACCCTCCCTATAATGCGCCATTATTGTTTCCATAGCACCAGACTGCTTCAGACTTCGTGACGGGAGGAGTTCTTAGCTTAGACAAACTATACTCTGGTTATTATATGCAATAACCTCACAAAATTTCGTAAACCTAGTTGTAACAACCGGTGTATTGAATCTTTGTGTAAATGAAGACGGTAAATACTGGCCAAACTGGTTTGTGATAGTCAATGAGTCACTGATGATAAAAGTAGTTGTAAAAAGTAATACATTGATGAAAAAAATTGATGTTGAGTGGAAGAATCTAGCTATTATTGGTCTGCATAGAATTTGCGAGAAGAACCTGAAACATTTCGTTGACTTCTCCTATCTTGAGTAGCTGTTCAAAACAGATCCGATCTCTGCTCCGATAATAAGATAGTGGAAGAAAGATTTCTTGTTATGATAAGGTAGTGGAAGAAGGCTTTCTTGTTATGATAAGGTAGTGGAAGAAGGCTTTCTTGTTATGATAAGGTAGTGGAAGAAGGCTTTCTTGTTATGATAAGGCAGTGGAAGAAGGCTTTCTTGTTATGATAAGGCAGTGGAAGAAGGCTTTCTTGTTATGATAAGGCAGTGGAAGAAGGCTTTCTTGTTATGATAAGGCANCGGGGGTACGCGTTCTTATGCGAAATATCTTGCAACATATGAAAATTTCAAAAATTTTTATTTAAAAGCAAAACTAGCCATGAAAATTTACGATTACGTATTTTTCTATTGGCTATTTTTGGCAGAGTTAACAGTTAATAATTCATGGTGTCAACAGCCAGTTGTGATTTTTAACTTTTTTGCATTTTTTATAGTAAAAAATACATTCATTTTTTTATTAGGGGTACACAGCGTTACGAAAAATTTAGAAAGGGTACACAAAATTCATAAGTTTGGGAAACACTGTGATAAGGCATTGGCTGAACTTACTCCTCACACCTATAAAGGTTAACAGAGTGAGTTCTAGACCAGTTGCAACTTGAAGTCTCTGCCCACTTGGAAGGATTTAATATCCTCATAACCGGAGCTAAGACTCATAGAGATCTTTGTAAACTGAAATAACTACTCAAGCAAAAAGTCGATGAAATGTTTTAAACTTTTTTTCTCTAGCTTAAGGATGTTCCTGGACAAACTCGGCAACGTAAATGCTGAATTTATAAACGTCCTTTATCTAATTCTTCAACACGGACAGGGCGTCCATAGAGTGGCGAAAATCATGGTTTTTATTAACACTTTATCAAAAACATGTTAATTTAGGAAATAAATAAATCGTAACTGTTAAAATTAAAATGATAGTAATAAAACTTCATGGTTATTTATTGTTGCAGTAAACGTGTTTAAGGTTCGAATACTAGTTCGTTCTACACAATACTTTACTCATTCTAAAAAGTGCAAATTATGTAAATTAGAAAAAAGAGACTTGGAACACTGAACTTAATACGGCGGAGAAGCAAGTAAAAAGTTTAAGAATGCCAACTTTAATGCTTAAGCCACACCCGAAGCTCAACATGATAAAAACTTAACAATTAGGAATCACGCAATACATGAACGGCTCGTCATTAAGTAACGTTGTTTCCAAATCGTAAATAGATATTCTGATAAACAAGTTATCACGATTAAAAATTTAAAAGCAAACTTGTGGTGTTACTATAAGCGACCAATGTTTTTTGCAATGTACGTATTTTGTATTTTTCAACATATTTTGTAATGTTTCAATGTATTTCACATTACTGCTTCAAATTGCTTAAATACATAATATTTCTTTAAAAATACATCAAAATTCAGTGTTACTTAACGTAAAGATATTTCGATTATGGCTACAAACTTCAACATTTCAATGTTTTCGACAGAATATCTAGGCAATGTTGCAACCTGTATCAAGCCACCCGTTCTAATGTTGTTCAGCTTTAATTTAACAAAATCAGAAGAAGCAATTTAGTTTGATAAGTAACTATTTTAACTTTTACTTGCATCCCGGAAATCTTTCACGTTTTATTTAGATTAATAGCTTACAAATAAAAAGTAGGCAATATTAGAGCATACTTTTAGGGAAGTAGAAAACAAATCAATATACTTGTAATATTTTTTCCTTTTGGATGAGTTGACCTTTAATAAGAAGCATATAGTTAACTATTTTATTCCGCGGAAAATGCCAATAAGTTTAATTGAAAGTTGTATTCAGTCAATATTGCATGAAATGTAGTCAATATAGTAACACTTTAATAAAAGAGATCATTAAATGAACGACACAAAAATTTAAATAAAATAAAATAAAATGAAATAAAAATTGTATTGAAAAGGATTTTTCTAAAAATTATGATATTTCGTTTACAAAGCTTAAAATCGAAACTATCTAATAAATTTTATATAGATTTATTTGAATTAAAGGCAGGAAAAACCATATTTTCCGGCTGACAAAAAACTTTTTTTAGAACTTTAAAGACCAAGATTTATACATTCATTGTTTATTTTTCCATATAAACATTCTACGGCATAGTATTAAACACCAACCTTGAGTATGTATCGTTAAATTTTTTTTTACTTACGTTTAGTGTACCCGGCTCTTGTTTCATTAAAATGTATTTTATTTTGTAACCGTCGTTGAGCAGCCGACTAAATTTTCGGGTTTACGACTACTAATGTTTAACTCCGAAGCCCTGTAATTCTGAACCCAATCCAGAAGACAAGGGAAATCCTGGATCGAGTATTGGGAGAAATTTGCCTTCGTGGAGCACTTTTTGATGAAACTAACTAGCATTTATGTTACATGGAGAGGAAGACCACGGGAACCTCACACGGTAAGCCTGACGGCAAGGGGACTCTAATCCATGATCCGTCTACCACTGAGGATATTTCACGTCAGCACTGTGGTCGGTGCAAGACGGATGCGGAATTCGTATCGACTGGTATTCGAATCCGGTTCGCCGCATTGGAAGACGAACGCTCATTAAACAGTATAACAAATATGATCTCCTTAGTTTGGTCAGGAGTGTGATCCAAAGTTTGGACCACTTAATGTTAATTTTACTGTTTGCGTATTTCGTCATATCTCGAAAACTTGTTAAGCGAAACGAAAAAGTTTTGAACTATATTATAAAGTTCGTTTATCCAAAAATAATTCCATAAAAAAAGTAAATTTCAGTAAATATTTATTATTTTATTAAATAGTAGTCCAAACAATTTTGAATTGTAAGGAATGCAATTTTTTACATTATTTTAAAACATGTAATTTTACATCGCAAAATAAAAAAATTGAGTTTGTGTAAACCCAAGTTTGTCTGCGATTTCAATGCAGTCAGGCGGAGATTATTAATGTAAAAATTCAGATTAGCTTACACACAAGTAGCAAAATTTGCAGGCATAAGGTTGTTAAAAATTATACCTAAAAACTTTATATTGTTTATGTTTAAGTTAAAATAAATATAAAAATTCAAGTTAAAATACAAAATCCTGATGCAGTCAAAGCAGAAAAAAAATCTTAACTTTTTTTCTTGCAGAAATCTCGATTCAGCTTTTCAATTTTAATTCGAAATAAATTTAGATTTGTTTTAAACAAGCCTTAGCAATATAAAATAAGTATAAAAATTTGTGCTGAAATAATAAATTCTGATACAGTGAAGTCTATAATCAAATAGCAGA